CATATAGAAATCTTCTATCATATGACAATACCTTTAAATGCTCTTCTCATATCCATATTGCTATTCATCCGTTGACTAAATGAGCCGCTAAGCAGTAATTATATGATAAAGGCGGCCAGGCGTAGCGACATACCCGAGACACAACGTGGTTGTTGACGACCTCAATGTCACCATGTCTGGATATCGCGCAGCTCCTTCCCGCAGACGGGATACACCAAAGCTTAAAGTTCATTAACTGGAACGCTTAGCCATGTCACGCCTTTCCTTCAACGTGTTACCCATCCGATTATATTCCGACCGGGTTTGTAGTGTAAGTCCCTAAAGTCCCTAACATGTTAATCTACCTAGTTCGTTATCTATCTATAGCCCAAGTTTCATATTGTATAGTCCCAAATAGTCATATAAGTTAAATGCTAGTTTTAATATCTCAAATTGTGATATTCTCGTTGTTTTACTGTCTTTTGTTGACAGGTTTTCTCTAATAGCATCTATTGTTAACACATGACCTGTTTTAGTCACGATATGGCTTAAATATTGGCGATGTGACTATAATTTCGAACTCACTCACTCACTCCCTCCGATCGGATTTCTAAAATATTTAGAAAAACCAACACAGAGAAAATGCAACTGTTATATTTACAAATGGTAATTAGTTTCAGGAAAGCAACCGCCACTGTTATGGTTTCCCGGTTTATTTATTCATGGTGTTCGTTGCCATATATTGCTGGTATATTGATCAAACCCGCGTAAAACAACACTCTCTTACTCAGTCTTGTGCCACCGCTGGTGTTTTTCTAAACTTAACTGATGTAGATAGTGAGTGTGTGAGTTTTGCTTTACGCCGCTTTTATTCCAGCAATATAACGACGAGGAACATCAGAAATGGGCTTCAGACACTGTGCCCATGTGGGGAATCGAACCCTGGTCTCCGGTGTGACGAGCGAACGCTTTAACCACTCGGCTACCCCACCGCCCCTGATGTAGATTGAACTATAGTCGTAAGTACACAACAAATGATGCGGTGGAACACATAGCAGCTGAGGTAGGATGATGACGCAGGTAATCCATACTACCGTTACTCCTGATTCCTCTATCCCGTCATCTAGTTCACGTCATGTAAAACGTGTTGTTTCCCGTATTGTACTGACTAACATACATGTTCTCACTCCACTCAATGACAAGGAGTGATTTTTATAAATCATCCTCTATAAAGGAATATAATAATTAGTCTTCATTTAATTATTGTATTTGTTAACAGAAATTTAATTAATTCATAAATTGTCATGTTAGTTTACATATGTATACTCTTCAAGAAAAGAAACTTGACATGCTGTTTGGGAGTATATTTACGGAGGGCATATAACTGATTCAAGCATGACATCATTGCTCAATTACAGTAAAATCATCAAATTCTAAAACTTGATTATCCAGGAAGTGTTTGGTAAAACCACAAATGGCTATAAAGCCACTTGGTCAGAGTAAAATGTCAGTATGTGGTGTGACCACTACGAGCGTCGATAACAGCTTGGCAGCCTTGTCCCATAGATGAATGGAAATACCGAATACCGTCAAGTGAGGAATGTTTTGATACGCAAGCGTCGATCAAGAGTATACCATAGATGTTCAATGGGGTACAACTAGGGTGATCGAGAAGGCCATTGTAACACCTGAACGTTGTTTTGCTGGAGGAAGTCCCGGCAAACACGTGCAACGTGAGGTCGAGCATTGTCATGCTGGACAGATCCACCGTTGACGTTGATGAAGGGAACGACGAGAAGTTGCAAAATCTTGTCTCTATAGCGAACCCCATTCAATGCCATGTGCACAAGAGCTGTCCGGCCATTATGATGGATACCTGCCCAAACCATGACATTTGCACCACCAAATATATCGACCTGCTGTACACAGGTATCGGCGTAACGTTCGTTCCGACGTCTGTACGCACCTGAACGTCCATCAGCAGGTCTGAGAAGAAATCGAGGGTCATCTGAGAACAAACGTTTCCGCGTCTACACAGTTGTAGACGTTCAGCCTGGTGACGTTGTGTCAAGACGTCCCATCCAACTGGTTTTCTGGCAAAACGTCCGGCTTCCGGTAGCCGATTGCGCACTGTCTTTATGGGAGCTTTGAGGCAGTCCAGGGATTTTAGTTGTTGCAGATGTTGCGGCCGTGGTGCGAGAACGAACATGTCTCAACTGCATGTACCGATCCTGGGCGGCGTTGGTAACTCTAGGTCAACGTGACCTGGGTCTGTCATTAACTCTCCCAGTATTGTTGTATCGGGTCCATAGGTTTGAGATGGTTTTGCGATGTCCCTCCTTGTAAACGGCCGATGGCGTTGTGTCGTTGAGCTTCTGTCAGTATCGGCATGTTGTTGTCGTCTATAGTGGCTTAAAGCAATGCATGTGGAGTACCGTGGATGTGGCGTCTTAAAGCCTTCAGTCGTAGGTTTCAGCTCGGGATGATGCACAATTTCATGATGCGCGTGCATTTCATGTAGGGTGCGTTTTAGCTATTCACTACAAACGTGAGTGGAACGTTGCCTTTTTTGTTCAAAGTTTCTTCAACGCTTTGTCGTCGGCAATCATTCCTCCACATGTTGGGATTCAGCATGGATTGGTTTGTGTCAAATATTTTCCTACAATGGTACATCAGCCTATATCTTTCAAAGAATATCATATTCAAACACCGTTTTAATATTATTTGTACAATTTAGCAACGTCAACATTGCAACGAAATCAACATGTCAAATGTCCAAATTGAGGAGGGACAGAGAAAAAGCTCTCAGCGTAATGGACGATGGGCACACACATCTAAATCCGTTCAAGTTCAATGACACGCCACATAAATAGTGTGACTAAACACACCCTGCTTCAAGAAAAGCAACAACTCTCCGGCGCATAGAAAAAGTCGCTCATACTGTAAATGTAGCAGCAGTACACATCTGTGTAAAACATAAGAACTGACATTAGTATCTCCTTTGTATTTAAACATAAATCGACAGTTTCTGTTCACCAACTAAAGCAGGACAGTATGAGTTACCAGCATCATTCATTGCACGTTACCGACATCCAGACTTTGAGTTACCGACATCCTCGCGCGATTTTAAAAATGCTTGTTTTTCAACACTTAGACATTAATAAGCAAATTCCGTGCATTCGATGTCTTCACACCATCAATGTTTATCAGTGTGCTAAATAATGTTGATTGTACACACGTGGAAGACTGCTAATTCGAGGGGAATAATCGCCAAGCGATCTTACCTGCCCCCATGTTGGGATGCTGGTAACGTGTAGCATCATCACCTTAGGTACAGTGAAATTGGGTTCTCTCATCCGTTCGTTAATTCACAACAGTTCGTATATTAATATATTGTAAATTAATCATGATGAAACAGACATATTCATCTTCGTTGTATGTTCCGTACGTGTAACTGATCCTGGTTCAACTAAATACATTAGTGTAAATAATGTGGTATTGACGTTTTGTTAAAATAACCAAGCTGAACTTGCTGGGTCACTGCAGGGGTTAAAAAGTGGGACGATCACCCCGAGCTGGAAACTCAATCAGTTGTCTGGTCTGCTTGCATTTCAACCTTCACGCAACGTTTGCCCATGCGCAAAGTTACACTTATATGACACTGCCTGAACATTATAATAGCATGTGTTTACCTAGGTAGAACACACAACACGTGCGGACATCACACAACGACTATGGTCATCATCAGTTGACGCACTGTGAGTAATACTATTCTTATATTTTATACCATAATAACCAAGATGGCGGTCAATAGGAAACATGGCAGTATGATCTTAGGGATTACAACTTCTTGTTTTATATTATGGCGCTGTGAAGTTGTCATCCATAAAAGTATAATGTCTTTGTTGTCACTCCTGACCTACATAAATCAGACAGGCGAGTTAGAACGTTTACCTGTATGGGCGTTGGTACATGAAAGACATTCCGCCGTTGTATACATAGGAATATATTGTTGTACATGAAATGTGTGTAACATAATACCTATTCGTAACTTATGTTAGAATTCTATGTTAAGTTATTATAATATGTGTACTATGTGCTTTGTTGTGTCTTTCTATATGAAGTTATGCTTACACAATTCCACAATATACAGAAATAAATGAAAATTGATTAACAGATTAATGAACTACGTTCATTATATATGCCCCCATGAATTATTGATTTAATGTCCATTTTAATAAATTAGAATAATAAGCATACAATCTAGGTCGTTTAAACAGAATGTAGTAGTATATATAGCATGGAATAACTGTTAAAACCAAGTATTAGACGAAGTATTTGTGCTCTGCACAACATCCTATACAAGAGGGACGGTGGGGTAGCCTAGTGGTTAAAGCGTTCCCTCATCACGCCGAAGACCCGGGTTCGATTCGCCAAATGGGTCCAATGTGTGGAGCCCATTTCTGGTGTCCCCCGTCGTGATATTGTTGGAATTATACACAGTTGATATACCGAACTGACCGTTATAGCTAACTCACATTGTGGTTCGGTGTATCCCCTGTCTACGACAATATCTATATTTGTATGCAAACTAGCAACCACATGTCACTGTCTTCAGCCTATCACAACATGCCTCTGTGTATGATTTCAATCTGTTTATCGTATATATATTGATTGTATCAGTATGCTGTAAATTGTTTATATGACATAAAAGTGGAGGAAACACTTAGGATACCATGTCTATCCCGTTCTATAACTTGGCAAACATGTGTTCGTCATATACCCCGGGGCACCTGAACAGCAGCATACCCGACCTCTTAAATATGCGGGTCAGTAGACCCTTAACACGTAATTGTCAAACAACACATGCCGTCAACAGACAATACATCCCATGAATACATACAGATCCACCCCTAAGGCTGGTGTCGTATCAGGGGCCTCGGTACGCTTGGTCGACTATCCAGCACAATGAAGATCACGTACAACCACGGAGGCCCAGGCACACTGAATACATTCAGTTTCAATGTTACACAGGAGATTTACACAGGACATTGCCTCGCACCATGACCAGCCGCCCTTGAAGCAATACAGAGATATATAATACGGTGCAAGTTGTGATATTTCAAGATGTCAGTCCCGAAGTACTATCCTACTATCCCTGACGTAACCTAGATATCCTATGGGAAACGGACCTATGCCTAGCCATGTATATTTTGTGAAGTTTACCCCCTTTTGTTCGGAGTAAACGTGTGTGTACCCATCACCTGCAGCAACATTCCCCTCTCGAGGATGGCCAGTCTCTCTACAACATTGTAAGTATGTCATGATAGAGAAGATATTCAACACGTTTTATACCGTGAAACATCATGTGTCGAATTCCGATGCAACGAGTATCCAACTTTATGACGCCAGCAAATGTAATTGATCATGTTGGACTATGGAAGCTGAATTACACCCTTTATCTGTTCAGTCAACGTGTTTGTGCGGGATGTTGCTAGACAAGTCACCTGTCTGGAAAACATAGGATCTTTTATGTTATCACATGGATATACATGCGCAGTCACAAGTGACAATGTCAAAAGTGCAGTCAGGGTATACGAGCTAAACCTGTACTTTAACATTGAACTTGTTAAACGTAAAATGTCTTCGGGCATATTCAAAGACTGATTTTTAATAAAACTACCTAAGGCTGGTGGTCCGAGACTTCATGTATAGCGCGTTTCATAATGTACCGAAAAAGCAGAAATCCAATCACCGTCCGCTACTGGAGGACAATAAAATGGTTTCGGTAAATTCAAAATCAAACCAATAAAAATACAAGCAAAAGAATGTTTTCCGGCACGTATTTTACGATATATTTTTCTGTATTTCTTCACTAAATTTACGCCATTTTATTATGTTATTGCACCTAATAGGGCCATATTGATATGTTTATTTGCCCAAACATCATCGTACGCAGTGCTTGCGCTTCACTGTCTTGCTTGGCAAGTGTAAGGATCTATATTTAACGTCGCATCATAACAGAATAATAAAAATCGAAACTGTCATCTATACAGGTGCCTTGCGTCTGTCACGCTTCACGTCTAACTGTTCTTCAGTTCATAATACGTGCGGGTATTTCATAAACATTATGATATAACAAACTTTCTTTAGTGAAAAAGTACTTTTATGACTTTTTCAGTGTCTAATAAATAGAGGTTAAACGACCTTCCGTGTAATACCATTTTAAAATCTTTCACGGGTTTAATAAAAATGGTATTTCACGGAAGCGAGTTTGGTATTCTGTTTATTACTCTCCAACATGAACTGCTAGAAACTGCCTACAGTGTGATTACTTTCCGTGAATGAAGCAATGTCTAACAATTTCATACTTTGAAGTTTACAGATTCCCAGATTGGTTGAGAGAGCGGTCATGTGATCTAAATGTCAAGGTTCATTTCTCTTAACCCTTCAAATCGTTCATGCATATGTAAACATGGTTCATACATGTGTCAACGTTCTAGAGCCGATCTAGGTAATGTGAACGGTTTCAAGGAACCCCAATGGCAATGATCTTGCTGCACGTGGTGATGCCAATTTCGCGACCAAACCTGTTTCAAGTCACCCCAATTTTGGCTGTCACTTTTTCACTACCAAACGAGCTTCCAATTGCCGAACATTGTTCCTTTTCACAAGAATCTAAACTCTCGCAGTTTGCGGGTTCATCTGGCGGTGTTCTGCCCCGTGGTCTGTTTAACAAGTGCTCAATAAATTTCACAATAAACAATCACAAAAAAACAGAATACAACAACGAGATCAGCTTCCTATTCGCCACGTAAACTCGCTCGTTCACAGGAGTTTCAACAAGGCTTTGACATCGTTCATTGTCAGTGCAAACACACAAACTGACATTCAGTTATAAAGCCATTGCGACAGATGTATTAGCACTGGGAAGTCATAACCGTAAACCATTATGGCGTCATAGTGCACGCCCGGCATCACTTGATGTTAGAGTCCTCCTGAGAGGGTACGTAAGTCCCAAAATGTTCAAAGTCAATATAAACTTGCCAGGATTTTTAAACGTAGCATTCTTGTCATTTTAATTTTGGCTAACATTTCTTACAATCGCCAGCAGCTGAAGGGATGGTGTAAATCCAACTAGGGTCCATGCAGGTAGCCAAGGTACTGTAAATCCCCATGGTCCCTGGTATGGTGATCTACCTTCTGTTGTTGGCGATCTATAGTCTGTTTATATTGTATTGTCCAAATAGTGCTATTAGTTTCAACTCTCCACACTAGTGGGGCGGTGGGGTAGCCTAGTGGTTAAAGCGTTCGCTCGTCACGCCGAAAGCCCGGGTTCGAATCCCCACATGGGTACAATGTGTGAAGCCCATTTCTGGTGTCCCCCACCGTGATGTTGCTGGAGTATTGCTAAAAGCGGCGTAAAACCAAACTCAGTCAGTCTCCACACTAGTTTTAGTTGTAATTGTGATATTCTAGTTGTTTTACTGTCCTTCGTCGACAGGTTTTTATAACATACATATATTCCATTTCAATGTCAAATGTTCTCATTTCAATTTTTATTGTATAAATTGTTTTCGTCACGATATGGCTGAAATATTGCCGATGTAACGTTAAATAATAACTCACTCACTCACTCACTTGATGTTAGACATTTGCGGAAACAACTTTCTAAATAATGTCTGGGAATACTATAAACATCATTGCATACATTGTTTGACCAGAGATCTTGGTATTCGTGTGATATCGAATAATGCCACATATATGGCCGGCATGTTAACTGGGGAAGACATCTGCCGAAACCATTCAACGGTGCATTAAAGAGAGATATATTGCTGGGTCCAGTAAATGTACCACCAAATCCATGTCTCAAAGATTAACCATAATCCTTAGATACTATCAAGGAAGGCTTTCGAGATATTCACAGAAGGTATTTGGAATGAGTGGAATTAACACCATGTGGGTTTTCAAAGACTCAAAGGACTTCATGACTTCTTTAATATCTAACAAACTGACCGAGTTCCATTCTGTCAAATCATTTAATTTTTCAACGTTGTATTCCACTATGCCACAAGAAAAACTTAAGGAAAAGCTTCCTTCCTTGATCCATGGTGTGCATTGTGTGGCCTAATAAATAACCTGACCTCTCGTCACGCGGAAGACCCACATGGGTACAACATGTAATAACCATATTGCTAGAATATTACTAAAAGCGGCGCAAAGGTATACTCACTCATTCACTGAACGCCTCAAACGTTTGCATCTTTGAGTATTGAGATTGTGTTTTGCTTATTTTTTTGTTTGCACATAGCAATATCCCATCTCTAGTCTGTTAATATTCGAGTCTGGACCCCACAACCCATTAATTGACATCATGATCATCGATCTACTCAACCGGGGTACGGTAACATGCATCTAAGTCAGCTAGTCTGACCATCTGATTCCGTTAGTCGCTTCTTATGACTGCAAATTCTGACAAATATGAAGGATTTATATATATATACCTCACGCATAAATGTCGCTTTCTGATTGGCTGAGCGCTCTTCTATTATTTTTCAATGTACCCCGCTGTCAATGGCAACTAATTTGGTACTTACTTCGTGGTAGTGATTCTTTATCTCAAATTACACTGAATCACGTTGGATGGACGGCAATTACCGATGTTTTGCGAATGCAAATCGATGAAAGGGAGATAACTCTAAATCTGTTTTTCTTGTCAGCAAAATCTAGCGATGGCTACAAAAACTGATTTGTACCCATGCTTCAAACAATTCAAAATTAACATTAATGTGTTCGGGCTCAGAGAACATAAACAAACATCGAGGGTACATCAACCCATGTCCCCCTCGTGACCAGTGAACAACTTATAATGAATTCCTACGATATTGTTTGATGATAAGTATACTTAATGGGAACCTTCATTAACGACTTCTCCATCTTCACTGTCAGTCGTTACTGCACATGCATATATGTTTTCAGGTATCAAAACAATGGACGAAACATAGTTATTGTGATCATCAAATGAAACATATTTAATCATTCTAATTTGGATGAAAGTCGTTACCTGTCTGACATTTACCGACGAGTTGATCAACAATAAACACAATGCCGTTTAATTCTAAATCCCAACAACCACAACTACGCTCGTTCAAACACAACGACAGCGAGTCTAACGGTGTCGCTGCAGTGTACGTTATATCTGGTGACACCGACAAGGCGACACCTAGTGACGGAAATCTACAAATACAGGATGCCGTGGATACTTCCAAAGATGACAAATCAAAGGACAGTGATGAGGATAAGAAAGTCACTTTACTCCAGTTGGTGAGTAGATCTTGTTTCCAATATATTACTGTGTGTATTTTCTTCTTATTGTTGGTTTGTTGCTTAGAGACGCACTCAGCAATAATAATATTCCGAAATCATGTAGAGATACAATAACAATTATGAAACATAACCATGTTAATTTGAAGTTTGGGCAAATTCTCAGGATAATCATTTCCCTAAGTCTTGTTTTAACATTGATGTCCCTTATAAGAGTATCTTCACAAACTACAGAACATGTACCAAGGACACAAAGTTTCTGGACATTCAGCATAGATTCATTTATAACTGTGTGTTTACGAAAAAAGAATTGCTAAGAGTGAATTTGATAGACTCCTTTTGTCTGAACCTGAGAGTATAATGGATGTCATTGATATACATGTGTGACAGTTTTGGAAAAAAACTTGAAACTGTACCTACATAGAACATGTAATCTTGATGTAAACTTTTCAGTTTTTGAGACACTGTTGGGTATTGATACTGGACATACGTTTCTGAATCATATTCTTCTAGCAGAGCATGTAAGCTTGATGTAAACGTTTCAGTTTTTGAGACACTGTTAGGTATTGATACTCGATGTAAACGTTTCAGTTTTTGAGACACTGTTAGGTATTGATACTGAACATACGTTTCTGAATCATATTCTTCTAGCAGAGCATGCAATCTCGATGTAAACCTTTCAGTTGTTGAGACACTGTTGGGTATTGATACTGGACATACGTTTCTGACTCATATTATTCTAGCAGCTAAACGATGCATGTATATTACTGGTATAAAACGATCTATTGAACATTGAACGTTTTGTGAACATTCTCAATGACATTATATCTATTGAAGAATGCATCTCCAAATATACCAGCAGAGTCAAGAAAATTGAAAGCAAATGTCCTAAACAATTGTTACAATAATCTGTCATGGAATTTATGTAAACCGTTAAAATAGCTGAAATGATAAAATCATATTGAAAAAAACAACAACTAACCAAACAACCATACTCACTTTCTTTTGCATGTAAGTATAGTTCGTCCAATGTTCATCAGATGGACTGACCTGATATGCTACTGCATGTGACTGACATTTCCTCTGCAGCCATTGGAGGTGGCAAGGTCCGATATTTGCGGTTCCAATCCCCACTGTTGTCTAATAGTGATAGTGACACAAACCCTGGTTTGTCAACATGTGTCCGAATTTCCAGTCCCAACATTCTGAACACAACTGAGTCATTATGTTAACGATACCATGTAATAATCAGTTGACTGTATGCCAGTCAGATCATACTGTCTTCACATTGCCTTCAGTTCCGCTTCGCTGATAAAAAAGACGCTTTGTTGATGCTCGTGGGAACGTTGACGGCAGTGGGGTCAGGCATCTTGCTCCCGTTAAATCTCATCTTCTATGGAAGAGTCATCAGTCTCTTTGTAGGCGGCAGAAGTTCAAACAAGTGAGTTTTAACACATTAACTCCCCATCAGAGGTTTAGACTCACTAGTGTAAATGTAGCCACTTTCTTCAGTCAACTGTTCTGAATTAGATTTTGTAAAATAATCCATACAGTTTAAAGATACTGTTTATACATGTGCTGATGTATTGTAAAACAAATTCGTGACGTTGAAAAGTTTATTGTCATGTGTTCAATTAATGATGAAACTCGGTGATCAATGGTGATTTTTTTACCAAAACTTTACACCAAAACGCAGCTGTTCAGCACTTTGATACATGATCCTCGTGCAACTAATCTGCATAAGGTTTGCACATGCTTCCCCCAAGTTAGTGGAGACATTCATCTTCGTTGTAACCGAATGTACATACATAAGTTATAGTGATTGATTTGAGCGAGTCTAAACTTTTGAGTAGTATATTACTACATTTCCAGTCAATCCAGGACATCGCATAAGCTCACAAAGCACAATCAGTTGCAGAAGTACATCTATAGTCCGAAGTCATAAGTCTATTCTAATCCAATAAAGAGACCGTTATATTCAGACTGGCTGACGATAGAAAGGGTGGGCTTGAGATACTATAGCACACTGAACTGCCATTAATCTCGCACTGTTCTAACAGTTGTCTGTGTTCCTGGTTATAAAGGCAATCTGTGAAGAACTTAGAATAATGGTTTTCAGAAGAATGTATTTGCGTACATATTTAGGGTTTCTGGAGTTGCGCGGATTAACAGATAATTCATAAATAACACGAACATTTCAAGCCCTCAAGGGGTCATGAGGTTGCAAATTCAATTCGTACCTCATTTTAATGAACGAATCCATTTTACAGGATTACCCAGCTACAGGTTTCCTGTTACAAATTGTCGCAGGACGGAGTGATGATTAAATGAACATAATCACATTTAACAACAGTTCGTTTAATGTTTAGTGGCACTGAAAACCTCGCTATGCCCTGCTTGCCATCATCAATGTACTGAAATATATGTCACTAAATGTTTGACATGGACTCGGTTTCAGCATAACTGGCACAAATGTGACAAATCCGTATGCAAGTTTATATGAACAGACCTCGGAAATCGCCATTGTATTTTGTATAATTGGCGTGATGGCTTTGGTAACGGGTTACCTAGCAGTGGCCATGTGGTCATGGACTTCAGAACGTCAGATTCGACAAGTCAGGATCCACTTCTATCGATCTGTGATGAAACAAGACATCGCCTGGTTTGACGGTCACAAGAGTGGCGAGTTGACTACAAGGTTCTCAGAGTAAGTTTTCTTCCATTGAGTAAGTGGCGGAAGAATTGGGTTTGACATTACTGAAGTTATATCACAGTTTTGTATGGAAGGTTAGAACGGACATCTATCAAATTGGTGCAACTTGGTTTACTCTATTGTCAATCTTTTCAGAATAATTTCAGCAAACGTTTTGTTTTGTAAATGTGCTAATTATTTCAATGCTATTCTCACATACAACAAATGTATTGCGTTGTTAGAATGAAATGGGAAAAGATGCACAGGAATTGCCACACAAACAATTGAAACTGAGACGCTACGATTTCGTTTTCAAACGTTGTCTACAATAAATGTGTTTACTTTAAAACTTGGAAGTAGATAAATAGAAATAAATTGGCTTCATTATTAATATATTATATCCACAACACGAAAAACCTCGAGATGACATCATTTCAATCCTACAATAATCGAAGATTAAGACATATGTTTGGAGGCAAACACAACGTGCGATTGTTCGAAAGTGTGCACGACAATATAAAACCTCTCCTTGTGTTTATTTTCGACTGACTCTGTACTATGTTTTTTCTCATAATGACCCCCAATCCAGGGAGGCGCTCTCTAAATCTGAAATAGGAATCTAAATGCTGATGTTTGTTTTTGTTGTTAGTTGCTGTTTATTTGTTTTGTTTTGTGTTTCATTGATGTATGAATGTATGCTTACTGAATATACGTGGTAATTAATGACATCATTTCTTTATTCGTTGGACCGTGAGACCAGGTGTTTCAGTTTGGTTTATTGATAACACAGTACAACGTAGGATGACAAATGTTTCGCATTAGTTTGTTGATAACACATTACATCGTAGGATGACAGGTGTTTCGCATTGGGTTTTTTTATGATGCAGTTCATCTTATAAAGACAAGTGTTTCGCATTGGCGTATTTGAAAACACAGTACATCCTATGATGACAAGTGTTTCGCATTCGTACATTTGATAACAAAGTACATCGTATGATGACAAGTGTTTCGATTTAGTTTATTGATGCTCCAGTCCACCATATGATGACACGTGCTTTCAATCTTCAGGGATATGCTGCAGATCCATGATGGGATGGGGGACAAACTGGCTGTGTTCCTCCAGTGGATGTTTACCTGGCTGGCGTCTGTCATCATATCCATTGCTCTGAACTGGAAGCTTGCACTCGTCGCCCTGTCATTTAGTCCCTTCATTGTGCTCATATCTGGAATCCTCATTGGAGTAAGTCGGTAATTAACTGCATGTCTACCTTACCATATCGATTAGGAAAGGAAATATGGCGAAGAGTTCAACGTCTACGGCAGCGACGAAATTTGATCCACTTTGGATGAAAATGTCATAAAGTACATAATCCAAATTACTTGTCAGTTACAACGTCAGTTTGGTGCTTAACGCCGCACTCAGCAATATTCCAGCTTTATGGCCGCGGTCTGTACAGAATCGTGAATGGACCAAACAATCCAGTGATCAACAAAATGAACATCAATCACCTGGGATACTATGACATGTGTCAACCAAGTCAGCGATCCCGTTAGTTGCCTATTGCAAGTATGGTTTTTCCACGGATATCTTTCGATAGTCGTCCTACTTGCTTTGTGAAATCTATCTTGTAAGTTACGTTTCAATACAGAAATACTGATCATGCGTTAATAAAAAATGTATCAAGGTGTGTTGTCTGCTTGTGTAACATATTTGTCTCTCTTTCCTGTTCCTTGCACCCGGCGCCATAAGTCCCCTTGATCCCCAGAAAGGTGGTCTAGCTTTGGTTCCTAGCCAAGTTTTACTTGATGCTAAGTGCTCGGAAACTAGTTGTTGTGATACTGAAATGGTATTTTGTATACATGAACTGTGATACTAAGCCTACTCTTTTAGTGTCATTTGTCGACAGACCCTAAATATGATTAGCTTGTTCTCATGGCGATACGGTTGCAATATTGCCGATGCGACGTAAAATTTTAACTCGCTTACTCATTCATTGCACCCGTGGTATTTTAACTTTTACAGTATGCTCGGAATGTGACGAAGCAGGAAGCGATGAAGTACGCTAAAGCAGGTGCAGTGGCGCAGGAAGTGTTCAGTTCAATACGGACAGTACACGCGTTCCAGGGACAGGAGAAAGCGTGCAGCAGGTGCGTGACAAGCGTTCATCTTCGTATTGCTATGTGTATTTAAATATGATACTTATCAAGCCAAAACATTGATTAAACAACAGTCTCGTATCCTGCTGACTGGGTTCCGTCCTATTTCGCAACTTAGTACAATAACCAGTCCAGAATTTTGAGACCAATTCATTCAACTGGATACATACATATTAATCAGTATTATTTGATACATCTAACCACTTGTATATTGCAACACCACGCTCCTTCTAATCCTTGCAAACACGTCATGCAGCGTGCTCTGTCGTACAGCGTGCTCTGACAAACGGAAATTTGGAAATCGTGGAACTCTCAAAACGAGTCTATTTCATCAAAATGGCCAGTTTGAATGCATCCATTCCCTTAACCCACAGACTTCACGGCCACATGTACATGTCATTTATTATTATTTTGAGTTCGATCCTAGGATAACTCGGCACTGTCTAAATAGCGAAAAATAATCATGCTTGTGATAGTATCGAAATTCCGCAGTAACTAATAAAACGCGACAATGTGACAACGCGACAATGTGACATTTTGATGAAATGTCGCGTTGTCGCATTGTCGCGTGTCGCGCTTTGTTAAAATATTGAGTATACTATGTACAATAACGTATTGACTACAAACGCGACAACGCGACACTGCAACAACGCACCATTTTGATAAAATGTCGCGTTGTCGCATTGTTGCGTTGTCGCCCTTTCGTTTTTAAAATGAAGTCTGTTTGCGCACGGAAAATAAAATTATGATGGAATGCGCATGCGTGTGTATGCCGCCATGGTCACCCATTCGAGGACTTCACCTGATGTTTATGCCGATGTGTCAGCTTGATTGGTGACATGTCCAAAGTGATGAATGTGTATGGTCATGGTTTTCTTGTGCGACTAAGAGACGCAACCCTGCACAGCATATTGCCCCGCTTAGATTGACAGGGCCACCATGTGCCGTCATTAATATGAACAGTAGTGCTAATAACTTGTCTTGCTGCTAAAACACACTTGATTTGCTAAATACATTTACAATATCTGAAATAATTTTCAAAGCAACAATGAAAGATTTGCATTAAGTTCAAGAAAAGCAGCCCCCCTTGAATTCTGAAATAGAGTATTACTTTTTCTGCGCATGCGTAGACTAATTGACTTTCTACACATGCGCACCGGTAATGGAAAAGGGCGACAATGCAACATAGTCAATATGTCGCGTTGTCGTATTGTCGCGCATTTTTAGGCTTTTTTAACACATCTTAGATGGGGCGATAATGCGACATATTTTGACCTTGAAAATTGTCGCAATGTCCCATTGTCGCCCTTTGGAGGAATAGAAAAATATTATTCAAAAAGGCGACATGGCGACAATGCGACAAATGGCCGAAATGTCACGTTTGTTGCTTTGTCGCAATATCGCGCTTTGGTTAATTTTGCCTCATTTTGCTTGTTTTTGAGAGGTCGACAACGCGACAATGGGACAACGCGACAATGTCCCTTCTAGGATTCCATAGCTTAGGGGCCTCTTATAACAAGCATGGGTTGAACAAGATCAATTCTAGCCAGTCCTTCGCAGGTTCATCAGCTGTAATAAACAGGGACAACGTGCGGAGAAAACTTTGGCTAATAGTCTCGTACATGTTGCAAATGTGCTCCTATGTAGGTTAGACACCTACGGCTTTGTCTACGTGAACAGAAACATAATAGAACGGCAATGTTTCATTTATGGAGGGATGCAGTTTGTGAACCAATATGTGTCTTTGACTGCATTCATGTTATTTAGTTTCTTTCTCAAAGGTAGGGGCACTGATTGCCCACTCGTGCCTTACGAGTTGCACAGACGATCGTGCTTTGCTTAGCTCCATTTCTGTTTGTGGGCACCATGACCATGATCGAGGGTTTCGCCAAAGTAGTCGGCAACCTGCTTTACTCTGGTCCTTCCCCCAACACGCCGTTACTGGAATATTGATCTGATCCGTGTTAAACCCCACTCACTCACTCACTCTCACTCTTTCAAAGGTACGATGTCAACCTCGCTGAGGCGAAAAGCATGGCAGCTAAAAAGGGCCTGGCTGTTGGACTGACGGCGAGTGGCTTCTGGATAATCGTCTTCCTCGACTTTGCTATATCCTTTTGGTATGGCGTGTATCTCCTCCAGAATGAAGCCTTGGACCCCGGTGTTATACTACCCGTACGTATATCCACATAGCTGTAGCATTATATGGAACGCATAGTTGGCATTTCTTTGATAGGACATGCATCAATGACTCAATCTGTGCTAGGTTGTGTTTGATGGTATTCTTCGATGGAAGAAAATGGAGTCTCCTATCACGTTCGTTGTCAATAAAACAGTACCCCTCTTGTCCCTAACCCCACTGTATATTCTAGAAACATGTCAGAGAAACATTAAAACTGTTAATACATTAACGTGTTTTGATCGATCTGAAAGCCTGATGATCACTTACTTTGATGTTTGTTAGCCACTACCATATCCATACGACTCCAGAAGAGTTTACTGTGAAAGAGGGTTGTGATAATGGTTAATAACTTCTGATGGCAAGAGGGCATGGTTCCAGCATCCTGGAAGAAATCCCCAATACAACTCTTCAGATATAAAGCTCAGAGAAAAGCTTTATGTCCACGTAGGAAAAATTGAAATTATGTATGTGAATGAAATTGTGCAAACTCTTAAACGTTGCAGATATTAATAAACGTCATGATTGGATCAACGTCTCTGGGCATGGCTTTCCCTTACTTGGAGAACTTATCCACCTCCTTCGGGGCGGCTGGGAAGATCTTCACCATCATAGACCATGTGCCTACTATAGACAGTTCATCGGACGAGGGGCTTCAACCGCAAGAAGTTCTGGGAGACATAGAGTTCCGGGATGTGGGTTTCACATACCCCATGAGGCCAGACACTCAGGTATCTTAATATTGCAGTCATGCGTGTTCAGTTGACCTCGACCTGAGTCAATTAATCGTGAAGTTTTGATTTCATCCCTTTTCTGAAACTCGCAATTGACTGTGTACCATCAATCTATCAGTAAACACTCTCTATATCATCTCTTTTACTTTATCATCTCTTTATCATCTCTTTTACTTTTGGATTCTAAAAGGAAATCATATGATATTGTCAGCGTTCTTAATTGTTTGATCGGCAATAATTGTTTGGTTTGCGTTCCAGAAGTTCGTTTAGCTTTCATAATGATAATGTTTAACCAGAAAAAAAAGATAATCCAATATTGACTGACATTATGTTATCATTCAGCTGGATTATGCATTGTTGCACGACACACACACAAACAACACATAAAGGACAGTTCGTTAAAAAATATCAGATGCAACCATTTGTGCAAATTTAATAGAAAACAACAAATTGTGATTCATAGTCAAATATTAACATTATTTTGTTCCCTATTGCACAGATTCTCAATGGATTTAACCTGAAGGTACCCAAGGGAAAGGTAGTCGCTCTTGTTGGGCCAAGTGGGTGTGGCAAGAGCACGACCATACAGCTGCTACAGCGCTTTTACGACCCTAAGGATGGCCAGGTGACACCCTTACCAATATCCATAACTTAACAAGCACAGTGAACACCGTTTGTAACTCCGCTTGGAACTAACTGAGGACACAACGGACTGGTTTTGGGTTCAGGCCAGTTGCTGTATATTTTAGCCAAAATACATTTAATATATTATAACAAACTCAACTTAGTGGGTCCTGTGACTGAGGGATACTGCATATCATCGCTAAACACAACACATATTGATATCGTCTAGTCAGAGTGAATGTATCTTCCTTGTAGAAGAAAACTATCATCTTCGTAGATGAAAGAATCCTCGTCGTAGATAAACGTACCTTCTGCGAAGAGATTAGTATCATCTACGAAGTGAGTGAGTGAGTTAAAATTTAAAGTCACTTTGGCAATATTTCAGCCATATCGTGACTGAAACAGGTTATAGATTAACAATAAGTAAAGATAGATTATAAAATCCTGTCAACAAAGGACAGTAAAACAACTAGAACATCACAGATATAAAAAACTAGCAATTAAATCTAAAACATTTTTACTATAGAGGACAACACAATATAAAAATAGGCTATAGATCGCCAACAACTGAGGGTAGATCACCATACCAGGGTCTCATGTACGAAGAGTTTAGTATTATCTACACAGATCGTAGCTGGATCGGACTGTGGCATTAATATGCATCACTTCCTGGACTTCGACTACTTCCATGCTTGTAATAGGCGACCGTTAGTAACGTAATGGGGTCGGGTGGTCAAGCTATCTCAGTTGGTTGACACAATCATGTCATCGTATCCCAGTTTCGTAGATCGATGATCCTGCTGTTGATCACTGGATTGTCCGGTCCAGACTCGATTACTTACAGACCACCGCCATGCAGCTTGGATATTGCGGGGTGTGGCTATATACAACCCAAGCAAACAAAGACTGCTTACGATACCATGTATTCAATTTATAATTCATGTCCGCTGGAACCTAGATTCTGCTCGATGGCGTTGACGTCCGGAACCTCAATATTGGCTGGCTACGTCAACACATCGGCATTGTGAGTCAAGAGCCCGTGCTGTTTGCAACCACTATTGCTGACAACATCCGCTACGGCAACGTGGGCATTGACAGGGCTGGCATAGAGAAGGCGGCCCGAGAAGCCAACGCTCACGACTTTATAACACAGTTACCGCAGGTAAATAACATGAGACTTTCGATCTTGACTTCTTGTAAATACAAAATAATATTCTTCACAATTGGATCTGACCCACAAAAATTGGAAAAGTTACCAAAACCTATCGCGGTTAAACACAATCGGTGAATCATAGCACAGTAAGAGTCCAAACCACAAATATGTACGTATGTCAAATACATATTCATTTCATTTATTGTTTGTTTCACCGTTTAACGTGAATTTATTATAATTTTCTTTCCAAATAGTTCAATTGGCCATAGTTATCAAAAACTACATTATTGAAGCAGTTTACCATTACAGCACAAATGTGTGAAATTAAATGTTCAAAACTGTTAATGTCAAAAGAAGTAATAAAATCTAAATATATGTTTTCAGGGGTATGACACTATTGTTGGAGACCAAGGGGGACAACTCTCTGGTGGACAGAAACAACGGGTAGCAATTGCTCGGGCTTTGGTTCGTAACCCCAAGATTCTGCTGCTAGATGAGGCAACCTCCGCCCTGGACCACGAGAGTGAAGCCATTGTGCAAAGTGCCCTTGAGCAGGTGCGTGTCTGCTGTGTATGGCAGTCAAAATCTTATGTTTTTAGCTTTAAAAAAATATAGGCATGAAACAGCTCTCTAAAGCACGCGTGACCTTACTACAACTTGAGTCACGATGAAGAACAACTCCGAGAAGGTTAGTGTTTGCTTAATGTATCCAGTATGGAATTGGAGAGAGTTTACTTTCACTGGGGTCATGATCAAGAGAATAGTTTTACATGTTCATGCTAGTTTTAGACTCCATCTGTGATACTCTAGATATTTTACAGTCCTTCGATGACTGATTTTTAGCACCTAAAATTTATTGTTTATGTAAAACATTTCTCGTCACTATATGGCTTAAATATTGCTGAGGTGACGTTCAATTTTAACTCACTCACTCACTCATGATCAAGAGCGCTTATGAGATGTCGTGAGTTACAACATTTTTTACGACGGTGCAGACCAGAAGATACATGAGAGCTGAATACAGCATACATGTAGGTCATGGTGCACTGAGGTCAATAAATCAGTTTAGGTCATGACACCGTGCACTCACGAGAAGTCATGACACCGTGCACTCACGAGAAGTCATGACACCGTGCACTCACGAGAAGTCATGACACCGTGCACTCACGAGAAGTCATGACACAGATAACACAGAGTATTCAAGTCAGTGGGAGACTACGTGTCCGAGCGACGGGACTGCGGTGTCAGTGTAAAAATCTATAGTACACCTGAGTGAGCCTGACAAATTGTGATATTTAGCCAAATTCAACAAGGCCAGTGTCGTTCAATTACCCCTTTTGAATCACATTACATATACCATTTGTCAACATTGGGCGTTGATTTGGCGGTTAGTTTTCAAAGTCCCGTGTCTCAAACAGTTTCAGTAAGCCCAACGTCCACTGTGTGTACATGTATGTGCTACTTAGCATTAGGTTTTGCGGAAGTTACATTAATTTTCACTTCCATCACAATACTGGTCAGCAGTGAGAGCGACACGTCCACAGAGAGTGCTACAATGTTTCTGAATTCGATGTCGGTGACAAGACCACGTCGTGACAACATGTCAACTTTTCATATAATGGGTTCTGTAAAACCTTCGCGGACTGATGTTTCAGGATTGTATTCTGTTTTATTTCTCCTTTGATAAACAAGACTGGTGTTACCTAACTATGTACACTGAAAGCAAGAGCCCCTGGATGTTGAGTACAGGTGTGTAGCCCATTTCTGGTGTCCCCCGTCGTGATATTGCTAGAATATTGATAAGAGCGGCGTAAAACCATACTTGCTCACTGGATGTTGCAAAGTCTATATGGGTATTTAACGGTCACCACTCTGACAATTTAATTATATCAACGGTAAGTCAATGCAGGCGGAAATAGAATCGAATTGAAATATGTATTGGCAACATAGAGTATTCCCAGAAATTATTGAGAAGTTGTTAAATTAATATGTTGAGATATGATTCTCTTACAGTCTAAGTGTCTTTTCAGTACTTTGTGAGACCTCCTTGCCTTGCAATACACGACTGAATGCGCCCATTTACACTACCGATCCAAGTTTGTTGGAAATCTTGTGACAACGCATCCCAATATTCGACCACTTCTCAATATACCCCATATCCTCAATATTTATAAGTCCTTTTTGGTTTATTCTGTCCTTCATTAGTCTCCACACATTCTCAATGGGGTTACGATCTAGGCTGTAGCTAGGCCAGTCTAAAACTTGAACATTTTCGTCCGACAACCACTGTTTTGTGTAGCCCGCAGTGTGTTTGGGGTCGTGATCGTGCTGGAAAATCCAGTTATCCTCATACAGTGTTCGGGCTGTTGGAAAGAGGTGACCATTTAAGATGTCAACATATTGTTCCTTCGTCGAATTTCCAGTGAAAATACACAACGGCGGTATCCCACCCACATGTGACATTTCGGGCTATGTTTTGGGCGTTGGTAGATAGCTTTCACGGGTTCTCTTGTCTACATTTTCACACAGTTCGGAAAAAGCCGGACAGAACTTCATCAGAAAAGAAAACACTATCCCAATCTTGGTTTTCGTGAGCCAGTTTAAACGTCTTTTTGTGCATCTTTCATCAATGGTGAGGGAATTCCGCGTTTTTTCACCCAGTTAAGTCTTTGTAATTCTTGTCTAAGAGTTCCATTACATACCTGAGGACTTCCTCTATTAATCATCTCATTTCTGACGCTTTTGTAACGGTAGAACGCTCGAATCAGAAAACGACCATACGGTAATATAGATATAGTAATAGTTACTAATAGTTAGCGTTCTTACTTGATTTGTGAAAATTGCCATTCGTAGTTCCGGAAAAAGTGATGTGTCTTTTGTTTTATACAAATACGCAGTACTAACTACACTGAGCGCCATTTCATATATGTATTAATAATGTGTAATAATCGTACATATATATGTGTCTTCCCGTTTCAGGCCGAACGAGGGCGCACAACAATTGTGATAGCTCACCGTCTGTCGACCGTCAAAAACGCTGACGTAATAGCGTCCATTTGTCATGGTCAGGTGGTAGAACAAGGAACTCATGACCAACTGATCGCAAATGGCGGACTGTATTCACGACTAGTGGCACTGCAAGTACGTTTCCTTTCAACAAGATTTATAACATAACGGCTGTTTTGTTGCTTAACTCTGCACTCAGCAATATTCCAGCTATATGGCGGCGGTCTGGACACTACAATCTAGTGATCAACATCATGAACATCTATTTAAGCATTTGGGATACGATTGGGGATCTTCACGGGTCTTCATGACGTCAGGATGTATATGACCACCATAATGCAAATATACCGGATAAACAATATATGCGACTTCGTAGGTCATAGAAAAAGTTGAAGAATATCAAACGGACGCCATTGTTAATTGAACATATCTTTGTTTACAGGCGAAGGCGGCAGAGTCTGCAGATGTGGGTACGTAGTGTAAAGTGAGTGAGTGAGTGAGTTGTTTCTTTTGCTACTATCATGTTTTTGAGAAATATCAATGAGTTTAGACTGTGGTTTGAGTCATGGTGTAGCCTTAAGTGTTTCACCACTTTGATGAAATCACACGTGTATGGTGCTGGGAAACATAAAAACGATATCAGGGGATTTCTGAACAGTATCACAAGAGTATCACGCAGTGGTTATAACTGCTCACGTAGCATTGTGGTGTTGAAGACAATGGGGCCAAAACGGATTAAAGTATTTGACGGTGCATACAAATTGTTATGGCCAGGGGTCAGTGAACATTGGGATTTTACCAAACCACGTTAGTAATTCACTGTTTAGAATGAGTGACCGGCGTTCAAGACATCCCGACTTGCGTTGCTCCCCTCGGCCATTTGACAATCTGTCGGTCGCGTGTTTGATCACCGGTTTATTCTCAGATTATTAGTGTTCTTGATGGATTATCTTATAATTTAGTATCACGTAAAAGCTACAGTATGAATGATTTGGATGATTGGTATATTTTACGCCGCACTCAGCAATATTCCAGTTATATGCGGCGGTCTTTAAATGATCCAGACTGGACCAGACAATCCAGTGATTAATAGCATGAGCATCAATCTACGCAATCGGAACACGATGGCATGTGTCAACCGAATCAGTGAGCCTGACCACCTGATCCCGTTAGTAGCCTCTTAAGACAAACATGGGTTACTGAAGACCAATTCTAATCCGGATCTTCACGCGTCCAGTATGAATGAAGAAAGGGTTGACTTATGTACTTCATATTGGGAACGATGACAAGGAGGTGTTAAGCTACAGATATTATAACTTATTGAACACTGAAGGCATTGCAAGAAACGGTAGTATCGCTTGCAAGCAGCTGTATTGTCACACTACAATTCTCCAACTGTGTTACAGATATGGCTGATGTTGACATCGTGGATGATTCTGATGGGAGTGATGAGGAAGATTCCATCCTAGATCCCACCTTTGAGAGGACGTTGTCCAATGGGAAAGACCATCTCCATGTCAGACTGAGATCTGGCTCCGGACGCAAAATGAAAAACCCTGATACAGAAGAGCATGCAGAGACAGTTGAGGTAAGGTGCTAAGTTCTGGAACGGTTCTCCATCAGCATTGACACGGAACTCTTCCTCCACACAATCGTCACGAGTATCATGTCGAGAGCATACACATGGCTAGACGGGATCAAGGTCGCGCTTTGGGGTTTCGGGTTAGGAAAGAACTCCAGCCAACTATGATGGCCGTACGCGGCGACCAACTTGAGTCGATGACAAAACAACGGTGGTCGTGCTCTGGCTCACACTCTATAGGGGGTGTTCCAGATACATCCAGTTTACTAAACCTATTCAACTAAATGATGATATTTCTGCACCTGCTTCTTTCTACAAACCTATCTGTCTCCGACGGTGTGGATCAGTGCTGTTAATGTCAATGACTGGAATGTCAACTTCCATTATTTGCACCCCGTTTGGCGGAGTGTGGCGTTGCACAAGCCTGATCACACAATCACACCAGCCACCTGAACCCAACGGTGACACTGATTATATTTATATATTAGATATAAAAATCATACCTCACCCCTACTATGGGCAGTCGTGGTCGAATCATGCCGATAATGATGAAAACATACATCTATTTGCAGGAAGATGAATCCATGTCAACAGTGAGTTTCAAGAGGATACTTCGTCTCAACGCTCCAGAATGGTTATTCCTGCTGTTTGGCAGCCTTGGTGCACTTGTGTCTGGTCTGCTGATGCCAGTGTTTGCCTTCATGATATCAGAGTTTATTCGAGTAAGATATGAACATAACAATTCCTTTTCTTCTGATGAGAGTCAGTTTTCTGCTACAATGGTATTCACTACACCTACACAATCTGTTCTCTTTTTCACATAGATCTTTGGAATGAGTGATTCTCCCGAAGAACAGATGCATCAGACTGTAATCATGTGTTGTGTAATGGGTGGGTTAGGATTCATCAACGCTGTCGCAAGGTTGTTGCAGGTGAGTACCACCTCACCTGCCCAGAACTATTATAGTTGAATGACGATGACGCAAGACTTTCATTACATTTTTCTCTACGATGCGGAATTTCAGACAAATCTGATTTATGCAATGCAGTAAAACATTTTTTATGGTTTTTAGCTTTTGTTGAATCACGCGACCAAAACATTTGACAAGTGCATTATAAGGCCATGTTGAAAAGATAGTCGACGTTCAGTGTCGCTGCGTACTTTGAGTTGTCTCGTGTATCAGTGGGCCTCGTGGGGCTTGATATGGAGTCGTCGTGAACGTGGACAAGGAAGAGAAACTACGTTGCGTTACTGCACTGTACAGCTACATGCCAGAGTGTACAGCGTACAGTGTACCCAGGTTATCGGGTGTGAACCCTTTCACCACTAGGCTAACCCACCGCCCAAGGGCAGCAACGTCCGCAGCGGATAACTTTATGGCTGCTGTCACGGCCAGCAACGTCCGCAACGGATACCTTTGGGGCTGCTGTCACGGGCAGCAACGTCCGCAACGGATAACTTTATGGCTGCTGTCACGGCCAGCAACGTCCGCAACGATAACGTTAGGGCTGCTGTCACGGGCAGCAACGTCCGCAACGGATAACTTTATGGCTGCTGTCACGGCCAGCAACGTCCGCAACGGGTAACTTTAGGGCTGCTGTCACGGCCAGCAACGTCCGCAGCGGATAACTTTAGGGCTGCTGTCACGGGCACAGTGGCAGGAATATCGTTGGGAATACGATGACTCGTGTTATAATCAGCATCATCTTCCCCTATTCCTTCCCAGGTACTGACTTTCAATAATTCGACAAATTTAAAGAAGCTGTTTCACCGATTGATGTTATTGGTGAACAGTAATGAAAGACTGAGGATACATACGATCACTGGGGAGGTAATTTGAACCGCGTCGAATAGCAATATAACGTAACTGGAAAAGATTACTTTTCGCAGCGTGAAGTTCTTCTGTCTTGTAGGGAATGGGCAGTTGTAACGATGAACTATGTATGTAATATCTGTGCATGATACTATTTTCAGGCATACTGCTTCTCCAAGTCTGGCGCTGGCCTAACTGCCCGTGTTCGAAGTGTAGCCTTTGCGTCCATAGTGAACCAGGTACGACCCTAAGCTATTATGGTGTTGTTATATAGTGGACGGTGGGTAGAATTATGCGTCCGCTTGTCCTTCAATTATGTGTGATAACTGTTTTATTGTTCCCAAACAGGACATGGACTTCTTCGATGACCGGAAGAATCAAGTAGGTTATCTTACCACGCGACTGGCAGCAGATGCACAGGTTCTTCAGTCGGTGAGTACATAGAGTTTCTTCAGATATATCCAAATGACTTTAAAACGTCGTCTGTATATAATATTATTGAATTTGTACTGGCTTATGGAAACGGTTTTGTTTCTTAACCAGACTACATCTCAGGTCGGATCCATTCTGGAAGCTCTGGGAACCGTGAGTGCTGCCCTGGTCGTCGCCTTCATATATGGCTGGAAGCTGGCTCTCACTATTCTGTGTTTTATGCCGATAATGATTGGAGCCGGCATCATTCAAGGACGGATATTTAAGGGATTCTCCAAAGCTGACAAGGAATTTGTAGAGCAGGCTGGAAAGGTAAGGACGGCATCAAACCTTCGAGACGTCATGGCGACTCTCGTTTATAATTGTAGCTATTTGTGGGACAGGTATATGATCTCACATACTTGGAGACATGAGGATTTCCGCTGTTTTTCGACTACTTTTTCAAGTGCAAATCTGAATAGATTTTGCATTTGGTGCAGCGGTGGTGCATGATACGTCTGGTTGTTCGAAAAAACCTCTAAGGCTTGTATTTGAAAGTGATTCTGAAACACGTTCGGAATCGAACAATCGAGAATATGGATTTGGGAAATCTTTTTGTCGCTTTAATTGGAAACGCTTTTTGACGTTTTTCAGCATTATATTCAACAACATTGTATATTCTGCAGTTTGTAGTGGGGATTGGGGAGGGGGCGTTGGAATGTTTGACATCGTGTGAAAGAAAAACAAATGTATATCTTGAAGTTGTGACAGAAATATATACTGTACTTTGACATAGATCGCAGTTCAAAACCATACTTTAAAGGTAATAGCTGTTCACCGTGGTATATGATTGTGTTCCAGATCTGCTCGGAAACGACTGCCAACATTCGCACTGTAGCATCTCTTAACACGGAGAAGGTCTTTGTAGACAAATATGAAGACATTATTACCCAAATATGCAAGTAGGTACACTTCATGTAAGAATATCCATCACTGATTGGTTCACGTCACCGTGAACAAATTACCATGTATGCCCGATGCACGCCGTACACAGCCCAAGCGGGGTAGAAATCTTTGATAGGGAGAGCAAATAATTTTTACCTCGCCACATGGAAAAAGCATGAATCCACGACAGTCAGTGAACCGTGAACCAGTGGTTCGGATCGACTCGTCAGTACAATGTTAGTAAATATATGACTGAATTGCAGTTTGTTTTAATGTTATATTTACATAACGAGAGATCTAAACATTCGGTAAGATAAATTCGTTGTAGCATGATGATGATTCCTTAGCACAATGCTTCAACTTATAATATTACATGGCACCTTATTATCAATTTCTTTATGTAACACAATTGCTTGTTAAAAGGAGAAGTATTTGGAGTGACGGGAGAACCATTTTGCTCTGCCAAAGTCAAGTTTCCCATGAACTTCCCCAAGTGTGTTGATAGGTGATTTGTGATGAAAGCATTCAAGCTGAAAACATCGATCAAAATAGTACGTTAGTCTTTACTAAGCCTTTCTGAAGAATAGGTGTTTTGGGATGTCTGTTGTTTTCTGTTTCGTTGTGTCTTCAAATATTCATATAGCCTCATGTCACCTTGTCAAGACCAGACAATCCTGTGATTGATACTGAGACCATCGACGAGCATATTAGGGTAGAAGCAGATCACCATTTGCAGTCAACTGACGGGCCAATATATTTAGTCACATTCCACCAAATCATTCTTAAACAAGGGTGTTTATGGGGCATAAATGACCGTTCCATTTATGTGCAATGTTTCGTTTTTCTTCTAGTGCTGGTGTGAAGAGGTCCCACATCCGAGGATTTGCCCACGGGTTCTCCCAGTGCATTTTATATTTCGCTTATGCAGCAGCATTTACCTATGGATCGTATCTGGTACAGACTGGGGAAATGCAGTTTTTCGAAGTATTCAGGTAGGAACGAACAATCTATTTGCCTGTTTATTGGAACTCATTTCTTGTATGTACAGACCACCCACATAACACGTGACAGTTTCAGACTTCTTTGTCTTCTTAGGTTTCATTCCCCAAAAGGTTTCCGTTTTGGCGCCCCAATCTTGATATAGATAGAGTGTTGGTAATCATGGCGTGGATCTATACTGAGTCGGTTCCAAATTTGATAAGGACGCATTTTTTTCATATACCATTCACATCGCTCTACATTTACAGGATCCAATCCGACATTTCAGGTTTTGAAAATATATATACAGAATGGCCACGTTGTACCATGGTGCGCCAATGATATCTTTGCAGAGTTTTCGCATCAATTGTGTTTGGGGGTCAACAGAGTGGAAGAGCTACTTCTTCCTCTAACGATTATGCGAAAGGCAAGATGGCGGCAGGGCGTCTGTTTGCAGTCATCGATAGAACACCGGAGATAAGCACAGAGACTTCGAAAGGAAAGACGCTTGTAAGATGACTTGCACACTCTGACACAAGCAGATAGAAAACAGAGTTTCAAACAGAATATAAACAACAGCGTTATAAAAACATCTTATATTGGATTTATGCTCAGACAATTCACAACATTTAACGATAACCTTGTAGATAAAGCATATCCTCAGATCAACTCAGCAGGTCAGGCTTTACTTACGTGAAGGAAGATCTCGGGAACCGGTCACGTACGACTTCGCTTGAACTGTCAACCACATACACATCTCCAACACGTTCCACCGTAATACTAACCAATGCTTGTCGTAAGAGGCGACTAACGGGATCGGGTGTTCAGGGTCGCTGACTTTGGTGACACAAGTCATGGTAGGTAACCCAATTGCGTAGGTCGATGCTCAAGCTGTTGATGACTGGATTATCTTGTCCAGACTCGATTATTTTACAGACCGCCGCAATATTGCTGAAATACTGCTGAGTGCGGCGTTAAACAACAAACCAACAAAACATAGGTTAATATTGTCTGTTTGATTGGACGTTTTCAATGGTCCGATTCATACCAATACCATATTTGGTTTGTGTAGGATCACTACAGTGGGGCAATCACTTTAACCAACGTACACTTCCGCTACAAATCTCGGCCGAATGTGACTGTGCTGAAAGGTCTGAGTTTCGATGTCCAGCCCGGAGAGACTCTAGCCCTGGTGGGCAGCAGTGGCTGTGGCAAGAGTACCACCATACAACTCATCGAGCGCTTCTATAACATCGAAAATGGAGCGATGGTCAGTTGGGGCGGAGTGGGGAGGAGGGTGTTTGATGTGGGCTGTGGTGGATATAGCAGGGATGGGAATTGGGAATAAGGGTGTTCATAGTGTAAGATCACTATGTCTGTTTTAATATGGCGTGGCAGTTGGGTGTGAGAGTGCAAACTGCAATAATAAAATGTTCGTTGTTTCCTGCATTCTGATTAGCTGAACTGGTCACATGTTATTGCATTCATTTCCCAACGAATGGTAACAATTAAGCCACGTTTTGGCAACATTCCTGCATCTTCATTATCGTCCACACCACCATTTGCTCGATACGTTCAGAGCCTGAAAGCATTTTTTTCGCTCATCTGGCGTTCCATTCTCAGGAACAGATGTTCAAACAACTGCCTCCTCGTGATTTATTTGTTCCGGCCCGAAACGTTCGACTTTTGTTGTTCACGTCTATTGCCTTAACTGACACATTTTATGGAATTTGTTTTCATGTTAATCTCCTTTGACTTACGAATTTGTCTCAAGTTATGTGCATAGAGCAAAATATCACCTGAGTCCCGTCACGGTCCACTGAGTATTCCATGGCCTTGGATGCTTATCAATCTCGTCACGTTCGTCTGCTTTTTTTGTGTATCGTTGTTATTTAATCTATTCTAAGATACCGCATTTCATTGTCGAATTTAACTTTGTTATTATCGGTTGCACGGAATTATACAATTTGCACATCGGCTTTTAATCTATACATCTAAGTACCGAACCCAAAAATATAAGTCACTGATTGAATAATGGAAAGAGTACACATGTACTAATTTGGTGGAACCCAGGAACACGGGTGTCATGCTGAAAAGATATGGCTTCTACTCTGCGAGAAACGACGCCTTTGAGTGCAACATTGGTGTCAAATGTCTTGGAATTAGTGGGTGGGCGTGTCATGATGTAGGTGAGGAAAGTGTACGAGCAACTAGGGCGTTCTCAGAGTGATGTTGCATTGTCAGTAACAGAGGTAATTATATATGTATATTACTGTAGTGCCGACAGTTATTAAGTAGGTATATCAGGTTTGTCAGATCATAAGGGGGTTGAGCATACACATCACAGCCGTAGAATCTTTGAGGTTAGGAAATGTTAGGAATGTAGTTGATACATTGCGATACTGATGGGGATGACGACCGGAGTATCAGGGAGGGCAGTTGAGCAGTAAATGTATTTAAAAGTTGTAACTGGGGTTATTACAATTTGTGCTATTTTTTTCAGATAGCAGACAAATCCCCGATCCCCAGTCTAGATCTCAAGTGGTGGCGATCACAGTTAGCGCTTGTATCACAGGAACCTATTCTTTTCGACTGCAGCATAGCAGAGAACATCGCCTACGGTGACAACTCCCGTGCGGTGTCTATGGACGAGATTATAGCATCAGCCAGAATGTCAAACATCCATTCCTTTATCGCATCTTTACCTCTGGTACGTTGTTGTCGGAAAGAATCAGAGATCAGTTTTATTAACTTGTGCTCTGAATTATTTTCACGTCATACGTATCCTTCCTGTATATCAAGAAGCCTTCGGTCTATCATACAAGGAGCTCTCTCGCTTTTTCTACATTACATACCTAGAGGGTCCTAAATATGGATATTTCTGGGATAACAAAACATAGCATATAGTTATTGAATGACATGTAAATATTAATGTTTTAAAAATACCATACTTTGTTCCAGGCGTATGACACTAACGTTGGAAGCAAAGGGACGCAACTCTCTGGTGGACAGAAACAAAGGGTAGCCATTGCTCGGGCTCTTGTCCGGAATCCCAAGGTGCTTCTTCTGGACGAGGCTACATCTGCCCTGGACACTGAGAGCGAGAAGGTGAGTGGGTTCAAGTGGTGACTCCTAATTCAGTATAATTCATAGGTTTCATAAAGGTTGTCTCCCCATAGACTTTTGACATTTTTTTAAATAGAAACACCCTTAAGGAATATTTATGACACATGCCAGTAAAACAATAGTTTTGGGATGTTCTACTTATGGCAGATATGTTTTATCTGTACTCAGCTATAAGACGACAAATGTACGAGTCTTGGGTGGCCCAAGTATCTGAAAAACTGCAGTTGGTTGTGTCAGAATCCTTCGCTTCACAATCATTACGTTCCTTGCTTTTTCTCCTCATATTCATAATCGTGAGTTCTCCCGAATGGTAAACTTCTAGGAACTGTAGAATAAGCATGGGTGGATGGGTAACAAGAACAAAACATTAATAACCTCCCAAACAATAAATGTCTTACACACCTGTCACGCGTTTAAATAGAACCACTAGTCCTTTTTTGTGGAGTTATTCGTTTTTTTCTTTGTTCCAATTAGATTGTCCAGGAGGCATTGGACAGGGCCCGAGCAGGTCGGACATGCATTGTCATCGCCCACAGACTGTCCACTGTCCAGAACGCGGACAAGATCGCGGTCGTGAAACAAGGGGAGATAATCGAAGTGGGAACACACACATATCTGTTAGCATTGAAAGGAGCATATTACAATCTTGTCCAGGCTCAAAATAGGAAGAAGAAAAATTCAGAGTAACGTCGTGTACAGATCCGGAGGTTACAGTCATTGTCGTTCCCGAAGACGACAATCCATACAGTTGACCACCATCTAACTTCACCAGGATGTGGGGACATGGCGACCAAACCATTATTCACAAACTAACTAACTAACTAACTCTCTAAATGGACGTTAAATTACATTACTTCTCTTTCCGAGTTTATTGAGCGCATTGTCATAATCCATTCATCAGTCAGGCATATGTCATGTACGTTGAAGAGAACGGATCAAACCCTATCGCCTTACATGATGTCACAATACTGGTAACAGTTTTCTGAACGAACATGGACATTCTGGGTAATGGAATAGAAAGTTGCAGACACTTGGTATACAGGCTGTTGCATGAGTATGTATATTATTCAGAGGACCCTCACATTTTGTGTATCATACTGGGTTTGATTAGGCTCCAGTTTTTCGTGAAACGCGCACAATATGTGCTGTTGCACTGTTATACACGTGAGTGAGCGAGTTTAATTTTACGCCGCGTTTATCAATATTCCAGCAATATCACGGCGTCCGAGAAGCCCAATCCTATAAACAGATAATCTGTATAAGGTATTCTTTTTATTTTACCGGTCTGTACTCGAATTTAGTCCTAAATAGGCTTCTTTGGGTTACAGCTGTTACCTATTATATATACAACCAGCAATATGAATAGCTTTAACATTGTGTCAGTTGAAGGCATCACTGTCATGACATCCATGTTAGTAATGATACTGTATGCTTACTCAGGCACGTGCGCGCATACATATTCATATACACCAATGCACGCACACAAAAGACACACGCTTGTGTGTATTTTCGTGCATATGCACACATATTTGCGCACACACGCGCACAGATACACACATGCACATGGTGTCCCTATTAAGCGTGTACATTTTACTCAGTCAACTCTGCGCCGCATCTCGTGGTACAAACTTCTGTACCTACAGACCATCTGATATTCTCGAGCACAGTGGGGACTTCGTGTTTGTACAGTCAGCGTATCAGACCACACAGAACACATACATGAGAACAAACCGATTTGTTATCACACCTTACCTCTATATCCTCGAGGGGTTTAACGTGTGATCCACATGTGGACATGTTTTAACTGGGATAAGTTTATGCTCGTGGACTGAAGCAGCGAAGTTTTCAAAGGAGACCGAATTCCAAATGAGCATATCACTCTCCGTGCAACAAAATCAGTAACTCGCTATCGTGTGACGTCATGTTTAGGTCATTACATGATTGTCTAACCCGTGAACATCCGGGTTCGAATGGGTCTTCAGTAACTCATGCTTGTCATGCGACTACGGGATCGGGTGGTCAGGCTCGCTGACATGGTTGACTCATGTCATCGCATCCGAATCACCTAGATCGATGCTCATGTTGTTGATCACTGGATTGTCTGATCCAGGCTCGATTATTTACAGACCGGTGACATATAGCTGGAATATTGCTGGGAGCGGTGTCTAACAACAAACCAACCCATAGACTTGATTACCTGGTTTGTTTACATGCCCCTGTCGAAGGGCAGATACATTGCCGCAGTGTTATCCGTTTGCACACATCCTGCGTTAACATGCAGATGGCGTGAGTGGTGGGTGCTGATGGTAAAACAGGGCAGGGCTTCCCTTGTCACGAATAACTGGGGTCTGATATTCACGGTTCTTTATTTGCCTTGCACGAACAAAGGGTTTCGCTCACGACGTTGAGTGAGTATGGTTTTAAGCCACTGTTAGCAATATTTCCAGCAACATCACGACGGGGGATACCAGAAATGGGCTTCACACTTAAGTACTTATGCGGGGAATCGAACCTGGATCGTCGGCGTGACAAGCCAACGCATTAACCACTGGGCTACCCCATCGCCCCCTCAAGACGCTGAAGTCCTAATTGAGCAAGCATGCAGGTTCACGTACATGCATATCTTGTATCTACATGAGTTGTTTTTTTACTTTTTTTTTTATAATGTTTGAATACCGGTTATATACTTTTTGTAGTGACATGTTTACACTTTGTTAAGGTATATGTTTGAAAAAATAAAAAGAAGTCATCTTCGGTTTGGTTCATATAATTATTCATGTTCCTGGTACACAGCACTGGTGTATAGGACGTCGTAATTCACTAGAAACACAGCCTCGTTGTGAGATCATTTCCTGTTACCTGCATATATAGAACCCACAGGGCTCTGTGCTGGGACATTCCTCCACTGTCACAGTTGACTTCGGAGTACCGCAGGGCTCTGTGCTGGGACCGTTACTTTTCACCCTGTATACCAGGCAGCTGGAGCAGGTTATCAGCTATCACCAGGTACTGCATCATCTATATGCTGACGACACCCAGATGGTTGACAGCTTTCTCCCAGCCAGTGACACATCACCATTGTCCAATCTTGAGGACTGCTGCTCTTCAGTAAAGTCATGGATGAATGACAACATGCCTAAACTAAATGAGGACAAGACAGAGGCTATGCTTGTAGGCCCTAAAGCCCGTGTGTCAAAGGTGAACATCAGCCATCTCACTATTGGGGAAACAGAGATTTACTTCTCAACTTCTGTAAAAGATCTAGGAGTATACTTACAGTCAGACCTTTCAATGGAAAGACAAGTATCGGAGATCTGCAAGTCATGTTATCATCATATCCGGACCATCGGAAAAATACGCCATCTACTGACTGAATGTTCTACAGCTGCCCTTGTTCGTTCCCTCATTCTTTCCAGAATAGACTATTGTAATAGCTTGCTTTTAAACATCCCACAAGAGCTCTTGAACCGTCTGCAACGCATAGAAAATGCGGCACGTATTGTGAGCAAAGCACCAAAATTCTCAAGCATGACCCCTATTCTAAAACAGTTACACTGGTTGCCCATAAGAGCTAGAGTGAACTTTAAAGTTTTAACCCTTGTCTACCAGTGCATACTAGGCACTGCTCCGGCCTATCTCAAAGAACTGTTCAAACCATATCTTCCATGCAGACAGCTTCGCTCCAGTGACAAAAACTTACTTCACATTCAAAAATGGAAGTTGAAATCCTATGGTTTTCGTTCCTTTCAAGTGGCGGCCGCGATGAACTGGAATGAGCTACCAGCTCACCTTAGAACAAGCCCAACAGTCACATGTTTCAAAGCAAACCTAAAGACATACCTTTTCTCTATGTTTTACAAGTGACTCCTAAATTCTATCTTGTCTGCGCTATGAGCATGCTGTCGGTGTGGATTTAGCGCAATACAAATGGACTAATTATTATTATTATTAACCACAGTCAACTTCAGTTTTCAAAGGGACGGGGACTACAAAATCTCCTTTATTTTGTACACTGTGAGTGAATGAGTGAGTGACCCGGGTCTTCGGCGTGACTAGCGCACGCTTCAAGAACTAGGCTACCCAACCACCCATTCACACTGTTAACAACGTATAACATACCACTAAACATTGCAAAATTGGACGAACAATTTTGTACGTGTTTCGCATTCCAATCTCAAGTGGTATCGCCCGAAACGATGTGATTGGTGGTAGAACCGTCAATAGCTAACAAACACCAGGTTCAGTAAAACAATTAACGTTTGTTTTTTCCACTGCATTAATCACCAATAATTAACTGATAAATTGGAAAACATATATCAAATGACTTTAAAAACCTTGGTTCACATTTAAAAATTCCACCGTAGACCCTTTCCCCACCCCAATAATGGTAGCGACCTCATGACCTTGACCTCTCATCGGAAGTTTACCTTGATGTCGCACCTTGGAAAATTAGGAAAGATTCGACAGGAGAGCCTCCGGCAGTTTGTGCAAGTTTAACCTGATTGTATGACTTAAATAGAGTCTTTGACATCTAATTATTGGTAACTTGCAAAATGTAAGAGTAAAGGCTCTTTTCCTGTGTTGTATGAATTCAGATTTTTGTGCCCTGTAAACGTGACGATTCCGTGCACTGTGATGGCTCCTACAGACCCATGTGTGTACTTTGTGCACAAATTCGATTCTACAGATATTATTTTCAACATTGTGGAAAGTGTGTTGTGACCTTGTGGCTTCACAGTGTAGTGGATTCAAACTGAATGACATGTTCGCTGTTGACAAAGAGCCGGGCTTGGGGTGATATGGAACAGGTCATGGGGGTGTACCTCTGGCATAAATACGTTCAGGTAATTATTAATACTTCAGCAGATCACTTTAGATCAAGCAGTTTATGGATAAGAAGGGTCGCGACAAGACTAAATCATGTTTTCAACGATAATATGTATCTGAGAAACAAATATGTTAGGCTAAACAGAACGGTTTCATTTGACATAACAAAGAATCAACGTAAACATATGTTTGTCTTGCTGAATATATATTTGAGAGAAGACGATGTTTTGAACTTGTTCGACTGAATATTTGTGATTTACGCGTGGAATGAGTCGAGCCCATCATCGCCAAATCCAGTTTAAAGACATGTGTCATTTCCGACGGCATAATCGCCATCATCCATTGATGTATCAGTACAGTCCGTTAGGGTTTAAATGAGAACGATTAAATTAAATAACTCGAAATAGGTATAAATAAGTGCACAAAACATGAATAAGACACACGGCCCTGAAACCTCTGTACCCAACACGATCTGACATCTAACGTTTCATGATCGATCATGGAAAAAGTTGTTCAAAAAAGCTATCATGATGATGTAATATTGTCCTATTTTCACTTTTCACACTGAGGGGTGACAAACGGCTGGTGGAACAGCGCCGACACGTACTTCACGTGCAACTCATCAGAGCCAGGTTTGACTGACTGACTGACTGAGTTTGGTTTTACGCCGCTTTTAGCAATATTCCAGCAATATCACGGCGGGGGACACTAGAAATGGGCTTAAAACATTGTGCCCATGTGGGGAATCGAACCCGTGTCTTCGGCGTGACGAGCCAACGCTTTAACCACTAGGCTACCCCACCGCCCCAGGTTTGACTGCCAACATGTGATACTAAGCCGATGTTAAACAGTTGATTGTGAAGGTGTATGATTATTTTAAACTACAAGAAGAGAGGGGGGAAACCATTCTATGCCATTAATAAATATCTAAAGAGAGGTGGTTCTAAAGCTCTTGGTATACCCTGAACGATACTAAATAATGTCGTATCTTAATCCTATCGAGTTCATATGGGCATTGTCAAAGGTGACGTTGAACGTCAAAACACAACGTTCAGACTACGAGACGTTGAAACACTTATACATGAATCCCTCAGCCGAGTAACAGTCGATATCTGGAAGCGATGGGTGGCCAAAGTGGTAGACCGAAGATACTGGTTATGTGATGGCCTGCTTCAAGCTACTGTTCCTCCCATAATGGTGACAGTAGGTAACATCACAGGCGATTCTGATTACGAAACTGATAACATGATGATAGTTTCTTGAACTTTTTCCGTAATCGATCATGAAACGTCAGATCCTGTTGGGTACAGAGGTTTCAGGACCATGTGTCTTATTTATGTTTTGTGCAATTATACCTATGTAACGGTCGATGCGGTGGCTGGAGAGGTATGTACTACGACATTGTGGGTATGTGGATCTGTCTCTTCCAGCCACAGCAACACACAGTTTTAACTAGTAAATAATTTCACTAGTCATAAATGTTACCAACTATAAATTTATTATATACAATAGCAAACTTCTAATCAATCGTTAATCGAAGAATTTCTGATCTCCGTTATTTCTATTGTGACGTGAATCCTAGATACGAAATCTTCTTAACACCTCGTTATGACGTCACAACATGGCGGCGCCCATGTCGAGACGTAGCTTACCTGAGGCAGCACAAATCAACACCAAAGTCGCTAAATATATTACGCCACATCAGGTAGACCGATGGAACGAGGTGAAGAGAAGGCTTGGATCTGTTTTACATACTAATTCCAACGGTATGAGCTCTCGTAATCCTAATATCACGGTAAACTATATGTTACAGTGCACTGGCACGGAACAACACTAATATGGACAGTGTAACAGATACCGCGGGAATTAGTATACCCAAAATACGTCGTAAACAGTAAACATATTTATATAGGGTAATTATTATCGATTACCCTGTACATTAACCTATTTCGAGTTAATCAATCATTCATTGTTTTCATTTGAAACCAAACGGACTGTACCGATACATCAATAGACCACGGACTGTAGTTTGTGTGGTGTCCGCCATGTTGGTGGTCAGACGAAATACAGTCCATTACCGTAAACATATATAATGGATTTCTATGGCGCCTAATATCCAACTCAAGCTGTTCTATGGCGAATCACAAAGCCTAACTGGAATAAGCTTCCAAAAAGAGCTAGGTTTTTAGTTGTCTGCGGAAAGAGTCAGTTGTTTCTGCACATCTTATTTTCAGTGGAATAGTGTTCCAGAGCATTGGGGCAAAGACAGAAAAGGCGTGGCTGGCTTGTTTTGTCCTGGTTTTGGGGACGATGAGTTGGCCTTTGTTCTCCGACCGTAGACTCCGTGCAGGTGTGTAGAGACTAATCAAGTCTTTTAGATACACGGGGAAATCTGGATCATTCACTGCTCCATATGTCAGAACCAGTGTCTTAAACTTTATCCTTTGTTCAACAGGTAGCCAGCGAAGTTGATTCAGGACAGGTGTGATGTGGTCCTTTGGTTTGGTCCTGAAGATCACTTTTGTCGATCTATTTTAAACCATGTGTAATTGCTCGCGGTAAATCAGAGACCTGTAGAACGTGATTATGTACCTCTGGAGGACTTTAATTAACCAATCACAATCCAGTATTAATTTTACTGAAGTCATGGTAGAATATGTTATAACAGTTTGATTACTTGATTTATTTACCTGTTGTAATGTAAACTTTAAGACATGCCACAGTCACTCTACTGGACACCTGTGGATATCAATGTCCGTCTATCAGTCAATGTTTCGATCTCGTAAAAACGGGCCCGATAGTTATTGTTATCTTGAAGTCTTGATATCGGATTCCACCAGTATATCTCAATTATAAAATGCGTGTATGTTTTAGCAAGAATAAAGGGATATATCGGATTCAACACTAATGTCAACTACAAACTTAAGTAAATTAAATTTCTCACACAGGTAACCTATCAGTATTCCTGTTATAAAGGAGATCATTCATTTTTTAATCAATAATACTAAAGAATACAATGTCAGATTAATAACTTGAATAAGTTTGTGCTTCCAATAAATCGCACGAACACACACACACATACTTACATGAACAATTAGTTATAAACGTATGTAGGTATAACAGACCTGTAGATCGACGGGATGTAAACTATCTATATGGTGTGAGGTCTAATGAACTACCTAGTGGACTAATATGCTTTTAGGTTAGAACTTTCATGGCCGGTTACTTAAACACGTCACAGATGTTGTCCTTGAAGGTGTGTCTTTGTGTCTGTTGATTTATCATGTGGGCCTCCTTGTAGTTGGCATTTGCAGGGCACCAATCCTTATCAGGCTGCAAGGCCAGTTTCACACTCTGAAAAAATGAACCAGCGTAAACAAGTTTGCTTGTATCTCAACGTATAGCGTTTTTGTGAGGAAATACAGAAGTTACGGCTGATAATAAATGGGTTAATGGTAGGGAACCCCAACGAAAAGATTCCATCTGAATCCATCCCAGGACTGTCATCAGTAATTACAGGTAATGTGTACATCTCGGACAATTCACGCTCAGATTACTGTCTAAATGTTTGTAAAGTGCTTCACAAAGGTTGGCCCAGGCATATTCAGTCAGATCTTGTCTCCGATTTCATATTTATTGTTTTCATTGAGACTATGCTTGTGTGGCAGAGTCAACTGTGTGTTATTTATAGTTTGGTGAATAAACATGTACATCTTTTACAGTTGGTTGTCATATTTTGATGGGATATACAATATCATTAAATAAACTAAATCTAACCATTTTATCAATTATTTGATAAGACTTCTGCCCGTATCCCCCTAGATTATAACGATGAGGAAATATTTCTTTGAGTGGCACTTTTAGAAGTTGGATATGTCTTTCAGTATGTTCAGATACAATTAAAGAAACATGTTAAAACCCATCCTTATCAGATGAGGAATATATATATATATTCAGGTGATATGATTTGACTAGAAGGAAACGGAATGGGCGGAAGTATTTCCCTACTTATTTGCATGGTTTTCTCACTCCAGTCCATCCGAAAACGTGTTCCTTGCTTAGGCGTGTGTTTAGGTTCAATTGTTCTGCGTTTAACCACACCTGGCATCAGGTATTTAAAAGGTTAATTTCATCTAGTCTCCTGGTCAGTATTCTATGTGGTTGTCATCGCGCATGTTGTGGTGTTGATATTCTTTAGGATCGAGATCATGGTGATCTGGACTGTGTTTCATATACAGGTTATATCTGAGGTTAGTAATCTGTAGTGTGTGTGTGTGTGTGTGTGTGTGTGTGTGTGTGTGTGTGTGTGTGTGTGTGTGTGTGTGTGTGTGTGTGTGTGTGTGTGTGTGTGTGTGTGTGTGTGTGTGTGTGTGTGCTTTTGTGTGTGTATTTAATAGAGTTATGTTATTGCTATTATTGTAGATTACAACTCGCATTAGAGTGAGTTATAATACTGTTTTAGGTTAAGGTTCCAATTCACAGTACAGTGAGTTTAATGTTTAAGGTTACGTTCTGACTCACAGTACAGTGAGTTGTGTGAGTGCTATATTATATAATTATATGCATTATTATATTACATAATAATTATACTTATATTTCATCTAGGTATAATATTATGCAATAATCTTACTTTCCATATTCTTATTATATTAAAGCATTATTGCTACTATCACTATTATCCCTAACAAAGTGAGTGAGTGAAGTTTACATCGCATCGGCAATATAACAGCCATATAGCGATGAAAATTTTTTTGCAAGGTAATCTTAATCTCTCGACAAAGGACAGTAAAACCAACTAGACTATCACAGATATATATTTAAAACTAGTTATTAAATTTTAAATACTATAACTATAGAGGACGATACAATATAAAAAGAACAGGCTATACATCGCCAACAACTGAAGGTAGATCACCATACTAGGGACCATGGGGACTGACAGTACCTTTGCTACCTGCATGGACCCTAGTTGGATTTACACCATCCCTTCAGCCGTTGGCGATTGAAGGAAATATGTAGCCAACTTTAAAATAACAAAAATACTACGTTTCAAAAATCTAATCAGTTTAAATGTAACTTTGAAAGTTTTGGGACTCACGTACTCTCTCAGGAGGACAATAATTTTACAATACTTCAACCCCCTTTGAGGGTACAGCCACGAACAATCTCAGTTACTAATCTAAAATACCAATAATAAAATATTTATGTATTTACAAACTATTCATCAAAATTTATATAATAATATTAATTCTATTTCTATTCAAATTCAATAATTAAATGGAAATTAACAGTACTAAAAGATCCTTAACCGTTTTTAAATTGAAATACTTAGCCTTTGTGATGGAAATATCAATACAGTCAAGCAGGACATGCTTCATGGTGATTCTTTCATCACAAGGTATACAAAACGGAGGATCCTCACCTTTTAACAAGTATTCATGAGTATATCTTATGTGGCCAATGCATCATCGTCGCATGATGACCTCTTCAAATCTGGACTGACAACCCAAGTAGGTATAACCAATATAAGGCTTTATTTCATGTACTTTATTAATACCTACTTGAGTGCCCCACTTCTCCTGCATCAGACAACGGATGTACCATCTAATGGAAGCTTTGCAATCGCAGTATGAAATGAGAAGTGGTGTCACAGATGTGTTGAGTGCTGCCTTAGCAGCAAAATCGCCCATAGTGTTACCAGAGATTCCAACATGGTTGGGTAACCAACAGAGGACGATGTCATATTGGCCAGTAGCAAGCTCATTATATGATTCTATTATTTCTAAAAAAAGTGGATGTTTGCAAGAAAGAATTTTAATAGCCTGAAGCCACGAAAGGGAGTCTGAAAATATTATATATTGTATATATTTAGGGTGTTTTTTAATATATTTAAGCGCTGTAAATATGGGGTTAGCTTCTGCTGTGAAAATAGAGCTGTTATTTGGTAATCTAGAAGAGACTGTTCTGGAGCCAATGACAGTGGCACAAGCAACTGCGCCACCATCCTTGGACACATCTGTAAATAAGGATTTGTATGTATTATATTTACTTTTTAATTGATTAAATTCTTGTCTGTATAGTTATTCATTAGTTTCAGATTTTTTAAATGTTGCTAGTGTTAGATCAACCTCTGGCCTCACCAATTGCCAAGGAGGAGAAGAAAGAAGACGGGAAGGAGATATATTTCATAGCTCAATGCCAGCAGAAAGGAAAGGTTTGACTCTTAGTCCCAGAGGCGGAACAAGAGAGGACTTTTTGTTGTACAGATCCTCATAAAGAGGGTTGAAAACACAGCTACACGCAGGGTTATACTCGTTAGAATAAAGTTTTGTTACATACTGCAAGGATAATTTTATACGCCGTTGTGTATGAGATGGCTCATCGGCCTCAACACAGAGACTGTCAACAAGAGAAGTTCTAAAGGATCCAAGACATAGTCTTAGACCTTGATGGTGGACAGAATCAAGAATTTTAAGATTACTTTTGCAGGCACCACCATATACGATGGAGCCGCAAACAAGTTCGAACGGACCAGTGATCGATATTGATGTAGGAGGGTAGCTTGATCCCCTCCCCACTTAGAACTGGAAACGACTTTTAACAAGTCAGGCGCCTTCAGGCATTTATTTTTTAAATATTTGATATGCGGAAGAAAAGTTAAATGGGAGTCGAAAATTAGGCCCAAGAACTTGGCCTCCTTTACAACTTTGATGGGAGTGCCATTTAAAGATAGTTCTGGGTACTTATGGGGACTTATATGTTCTACAGAAATGTATGCAATTAGTTTTTGATTTAGAAAATTTAAAGCCGCTTCAAGACACCATTTATTTATTTTGTTTAAACACAACTGTAGTTGCCATTCAATAGTATGCATATTCTTTCCGCGACAACAAATATTAAAATCATCCACAAACAGTGATCAATCGATTGAATCGTTTAAAACCTTGGATAAACTGTTGATCTTGACGCTACATAAAGTGACAGACAAAATACTGCCTTGTGGGACACCCTGATCCTGATTGTAATGATCAGACAGGGTAGAACCCGCTCGGACTTGAAATTACTTCGATTTTTCCTGAAACCACATTGAATATTTGTAATAAGGTTATTTGTTTCAAGATACCATGTTAATCTATTATTTACCATTCATTCCATGGTTTTACAGGCACAGCTCGTTAAAGAGATTGGTATGTAGTTAGACGGATCAGTATGATCCCGGCCAGGTTTTGGAATGGGGACTACAATGGCATTACGCCATGAAGTTGAGAAATTCCCTGTAGTCCATATCATATCAAATATATTTAGCAGAGTTTCCAAACATGATTCGGGCAAATGCTTCAGGAGCTGATAGTGGATATCATCAGCCCCTGTGGCTATATCATGAGCTTGCTCAAGGGCGGTATGTAGCTCATGAAGTTCAAATAATTCATTATAATCTTCACCACTGTCTGAGTTAAAATTGATTTTTCTTCTTTTCCTGCTGTTTCTGATGCTTTTGAAACTCAGGGACATAATTTGATGATGAAGAATTCTTGGCAAGAGTTTCGCCAATTGTATTTGCTATTTCAGCTTTATTAGTTAATAATTCAGCGTTTAAAATTCCCGCCTGCCCGACCGTCCGGAACGGTCTATTTTCATCTCGGACGGTCAAATTTAAAAAGTAGCCTGTCCGGTGGTCTGGTAGATATTTTTACACATAAGAGTAAATATTTCATAATATCAGACGGGTTCTCGTGTCGTCAGTTTGAGCTCGAGGTGTTTAAGGTATTATGAAAAAAATCTAAACTACATACGATTGTACAGTTTATGTTACGATAACCAATCATAACAAATGTACTTTCAGTTTACCTAAACTCGGTGCATTGCCTGTTAGTGCTATGTAGTTAATTGCGATGCCTACAAACAGTGAATGGAGCTTGCGCGAGTTGGAAATGGCAGTCACAGTTTGTTATTGTTAAAAACCTGACAGGCAAGTTTGTATCCGGACTGGTAATATTTTAAAATTACTAGTCGGGATGTCTGGCTTGGAATTTTGGGAGTTTTAAACACTATTATCACCATCCTTTAGATGGTGTACAGTAGGTTTAGAACCTTTGCCCTTTATTCTTTGGACCATGTTCCACACCTTTGACATAGGTGTACGTGAATGTATTTTGGAAACATAGTTCCTCCAAGACTGACACTTATTTTGTTTAAATGCGCGTCGAGCCTTGGCATTTGAAATTTTAACGTTGTCTAAATTATGTACTGTAGGATGTTTGCGAAAATATTTTTCCGCTTTCTTCCTGCTCTTTCTGGCCTGTTTACATTCATTATTAAACCATGGTTTACGAATTTGTGGAACTGCAGAGGACTTGGGTATGCTTTGGTCAGCAATGTCATTGAGTATATCTGTATAGGATCTTCACTGTTCGCAAAAACAGCATGTTTTAATGATCAATCAGCCCTGGCGAAGTTCCTTCTTGATAAAGGTGGATCATCACCAGGGTTGATGTTTGAGTGAATGGGTGGGAAATGATCACTCCCACAAACAGCCCGTTTGAGTCAGAAACGGACCGATGAATTGCAAATTTCATCATTGTACAAAATTGCCACATGAATATAAATAGTACACATGTTTATCATTTACTAATACCCAACAGCTTTCTTATATTTGGAAATTTTCCGGACTCCACCAAAAAAAGTTCTTTAAGAAACTATCATTAAAATTTTGACACGGTTCACTATTTGTTACGAGGGAGGAGTGCAGAGAAAGGGACAGCCAGGTGTTAGAGAAGCACGTGCACAAGTGCCCACCAAGTTATTGATTCATTATCCTGTGCTGTGCCGTCTCCATCCTTTCTCGCACACCTAGCTGTCCCTTTCTCTTCACTCCTCCCTCGTAACAAATAGTGAACCGTGTCAAAATTTTAATGATAGTTTCTTAAAGAACTTTTTTGGTGGAGTCCGGAAAATTTCCAAATATAAGAAAGCTGTTGGGTATTAGTAAATGATAAACATGTGTACTATTTATATTTATGTGGCAATTTTGTACAATGATAAAATTTGCAATTCATCGGTCCGTTTCTGACTCAAACGGACTGTAGGTCATCATGGACCATCCATTCAAATTCATTATATAAGTTGGAGTCGGCAAGTGATGGATCCAGGGAAGAATATGTTCCCATAGGTGGATGTAAATAAGTGATTCTGAAGGTGTGAGTTCGAATCCCGGATGGGGCTCAACTCAAAAAAGTGCTAGAATGTGTACTTCACTAAGAAAGTGTAATCCCAAATATGACATATGTTACATCTGACCACTTTCTAAATGGCATAATGTAATCATGGCTTTCTGCCTTGGGAGCCGTGCCAATTAAGTGAGTTAAAATTTATAGTCACATCGGCAATATTTCAGCCATATTGTGACCCGTGCCAATTAGCACTTATCAGAGGGGTACACAAAGTCTGCAGTCGCGTTGGCGGAGCGGGTTAGGCGGCTGACTTTGTGTGCTGGCGATTAGGTGCCTGACTCTGAGGGTGTTAGTTCGAATCCCGGATGGGGCTCAACTACAAAAGTACTAGAATTTGTACTTCACTAAGAAAGTGCAATCCCAAATATGACATATGTGAAAATGCATAAATTATGATCGGAAATGAATTCCTCAAGGATTTTCCCTTTATTATTAGTATGGACACTTCCCAAAAAGGGATTGTGTCCATTCAGGTCGCCTATGATAACACATGGCTTTGGAAGCTGATCATAGAGATTTTGAAGATCCGATTGTCGAATATTAGACGAAGGAGGAATATACAAGCTGCACAGGGTCAATGCAACGTCCTGAGTTAAACGAACAGCAACAGTCTGAAGATTTGTATTACGTGGGACAGGGCTATGTATGACACCCTGCCGCACCAAAATTGAAGCACCTCCTGTTGCTCTATTTCCTGGAGGAGATAAAAGGAGTGGTAATCACTGTACTGTCGTAAATCAAAATTATTTGTATTTTTAGATACGTCTCTTTCAGACATAATGCTGACGGTTGAACATCTTGAATTAGTAACTGTATTTCGTTAAAGTTATTTTTAAGTCCTCTGCAGTTCCACTGAATTATATTGGCCAATTGAGGCATGGTGCCTCAATTGGCGATCGTTCTCGTGAATGGGAGGAGGAACTATTCCTCCGCCTGTCCAGTGGGGACAGAATGACCTCCATATCCATAGGTCCAAATGAATTTTGGAAAGGAACCTCTGAAGATCAAGAGTCAGTAGATGGCAAGTTTCCACTTAATTTTCTATCTTTCTTCTTTTTGGATTGCTCGGCGACTGGCTGTGAAGTGGCTCGTTGTAAAACCGTCGATTGCGATGTCGAGCTGAATTTCTGCCTGAGACCCAGATGTCGATAGAGTGATTAGGGCAGAAGGTTTTTAGGATGGGGAAGTGTCTTTTTGGATGAAAAGACAGGTTTATCTGACTTGACCCATGTCAAGTCAGTCTGGCATGCAGCTGAGGATATTGCTACAGAGCGGGTGACTGCAGCAGAATATGTGATATTTGACGGGGTTGAAGATTGATTTGAGTAAAGGTTTTTGGCTTCAAGATAGGAATGTTTTTTTTCACATTTATTTTAATTATATTTGATTCCCTTTGATATACAGGGCATGACCTAGATGAAGCAGGATGTGCCCCGTTGCAGTTAATACATTTGAGATCATTCTCACAGTCTGTGCCGTCATGGTGATCTCAACAGCGATGACACACTGCAGAATTTCGGCATGAGTTCGAACCATGACCAAAATGTTGACATTTGTAACACCGAAGTGGATTGGGGACATACACATCCACTCCGATGTTAACATAACCTGCTTTTATTGATTGAGGTAGAGATGATCTAGCATATGTTAGGAGAGACGTATTGGTTTTAGTTATGATCCCATCCTTTTTAATGGTGAAACGCTTCAAAGTTGTAACAGGCTGATCTTCAATCTCTGTAGCAATTTCCTCTTCGCTCATATCGTAGAGACAGTGTGTCTTGTCACAGCAACCTCTATATTGACAAATGTTTGACAGACATAAGATTTAGAGACTGCTGTCTCCGTGCGCACTCCACCAGAAGTCAACCACTACGGAGACAGGTGACATTTTTCACTTCCCCACAAATCCCATAGATAGCCTTCGACACAGCAAATGGATTTAATGTAATTGGTAGATAGTCTGAAGCCTCGATCACTAGGAATCTAGGCCAGGAATCAACGTAAGCAGAGTTAGTATCAGATGGACGACCTAGATCGTCCAGGCGTCGCTTTTTTTCATTTCGAATGGAACCAGCTTGTTGGTGAGTCATGATGAAAGGAAAAAGATTCACCACCCCTGCTCCCCACCCACCATGGAGTGTCAACAAGGACGGCGTCAATATGCATCGGATTTCCAAGACGTTGACACCAGGGATACAGGGGTGGTATACTCCAAAGAATATGACATGAATAGCTGCATTTATCTACCAACTTAATGCCAGACTGGTTCGGCCCTTGACAAGAAATAGGAGACATACATTATTCAGAGGTCAACATCACCAGATTGGCCCATGAGCCACCGCCTTCTGGCATAGGACTCTAGGCAATTTAAAGTTATCAATAAATTAAACATTGCAAATCAAAATTTCCAAGACCCAATCATAATTTATTGGGCAAATATAATCACCATGCACAGGGCTTGGCGTGACCAGCCGATTGATAGAACCGGGCCAGTTCAAAGAAACACGGTTTCAGGCTCCCAATGCCCTCAACCACCAGAATCCCGTCCTCCACCGACACAGGGGCGCAACCTTCGGCAAACAAGTTGGTGGAACAAATATACCCCCGGGTCCACACGGGGGTTGAAGAGCAACATATATACATGTACGTGTGTGGTTAAGTTAATTAGGTTTTTATGCAATAATGTTAAGTAAATCTATATATATCACATTGCATATCCATTATATGTAACTAACGTCTAAAGTATATCTATAGCATGTGCCAATTATTGATTGTAGGCTTACATTGTTATTCTATCATGTTTCAGGCTCGTTTCTTTATTGCATACATTGTAAGTCTATCGCCTCCCACCCAGTGGCTTTGTGGTTCAGACGTAATCCCGCTCTAACACTTATACAAAACAGATAGGCATATTTCGGGATAAGGATAGTGCCCATCATCTCGAATGTAAAGTGATAAATAGTGTGACTGTGTAAATAAAGCTCGACGCATTGCTTACTGCGGTAGTCCCAAGGTACAAAATGGGGTTTCAGCTGACTCAGATGTTAGGTCATCTGAGCAAAAGGCAAGTCAGTCCAAGCAAATGCGGAGTCTATTCAAAACATTCAACTGTGGGATCAACATTTGACATCGGCAACACGCCATGTAATTCACTTATCCATTGGTGCTATTAAAGTAAAACCACATTGTACCTTCTTCAGAGAACCCGTCGCCCTATGTTTTCTGACAGTAATGATCATGACGACCGGTAGAGGGAGAAGAGGCATCACGGCGAAACACCAACCGATTATATTGGCATAGCTGGGAAACACGTACTTGCCATAGGTCGGTGCCTGGTAGCTGATAGTTGTAAGGGTGAAAACTATCTGAAACATAGATACCAAATTCAGTCTGGGTGCAATGGTATTGTGTGACGTAATTTATAATCTTATATAAACCTTTTTGTGAGCACTTGTCATCAGGGTAAATGACTATCACAGATATGGTTTAAAACCAGCACGTGGGCATAAAGTTATACCTTCACACTGAACATTAAAATAGAAAAAAAGACCACAGATACCCAAAAGTCAATCACCTTTTTGGGGTCCAGGGGGACGCTTACCATTATGCTTTGCATGGATTTACATCATCCCTCTAGCAGCTGGTGATTATTAACAAATTTAGCTGAAGGAAAATATTCTTCGTTTGCAACTTGGCAAAGATCAACACACTGCGAATGATGTGGTCCTATATTCCCTAAGCCAAAATATATTTCACAATTTGAACCGCGTTTGAAGGTACAGCCACTAACAAACATAGCTGTTTATTATTAGACCAAATATATAATTAATCTAATCATTGCAAAACATAAACATATCAATAAAATACATTTCAATAAAATGTTAGTTAAATACAAGGATACTTTAATGATCAAACAGTGAAATAGTTATCCCTCAACATGGGCCTATAGATACAATAAAGCAAAGCATGCTTGACCGTGATTCTTTCATCCGAAGGGAAGCAAAACGAATGATATTCACCATTTTATAAATGTGTATAAATGCTGCTGCCAGTACTGCATCAAGTGCAACGCATGGTAACCTCTTCAAATTTGGACTGATAACCCCAGAAGGTGTAACCGATAGTTGCTTTAATGTCACATAATTTATTCATACCACCTTGAGTATTTGCATTTAATCACGGGTAATCAGTAGAACCTGGTAGCTGGTACCCATAAATGTCGCAAAGGGAACGTAAAATCTCGAAAGCCAGCCTGCAAGATCTTCTGGGGAAAACACTCACTTGAGCCTTCAGGTCAACAAATGCAACTGAGGGGATTTGAATGTGTCACCGTTCAACGTCCTACCCATAATCGAATTAGGCAATTCTTTTAGCTATGTTTTATGTCAAAATAACGATATATATTTTTCAAGAGTTTTTGGACAATTTAGGGAGTAGTTATATCACAATACCTCAATCCTTCCACGTGTTATGATTGGTTTGTCGTATTTTTGCACATAACATTCATCGATAGGGGGACAAGTCTTGTTTTACGTCACGTAAAGGGCGAGTGGTGACGAATGGGAGCGTCCATTAAATTCCTTGTACAGGTTTAAGTCTGCACGTGACAGACCGAGGTCAGAATGTGTTCCAGCAGGTCGATATATGTAAATCATCATTAAACAACGTAAAATATTATCAGAAATAAAATATTCAATAACTTCCCCTTATTGTTCGTGCGTGTATCTCTCCATAGATGGCTATGTCCATTTGCATATGAAAGTGGAATATACAAAGACCACAACTCTAACATATAATGCAAGGTAAGACAAACAGCAACGACTTTAGGAATAGTATTTAGATGTACACTGCTGTGAATGACGCTAACCAAGTAGCGCCCCCAGACACTGTACTTGTTTTTAAGACCCATGACCATCCGAGAAATAATTCACTTTAGCAGCCCAAGCTTCCGGTAACAGTTGACAAACGAGATCGGGTGGCTACGATCAGTGCCTTTGCAATGCTGTACACACAAGGATTTTTCCGTTTTCGAACAACCTTTGTTGGCATTTATTTTCTGTGTTTATTCCATGTAACTTTCCCCAATATCTTGCATTATACAGTCTATGGAGAGTTTCAGCGGAAAAAACAACATAATTGTTCCATGGTGTTCACTTTTAAAAAACTAAATTAGATGTAATGTTTTGATATGAATCCTTTAAATTTGGTTGTCTGCTTTATGAGCTTGTTCAAAATCATCCTTTATTTCCGTACACCTGTATCATAGCTTTCTCGAGAAGAATACCCCAAATTGGTAAATGTGTAAATTCCATTTATGGTGTTCCTACCGTGATATAGCTGGAATATTGCTCAGTGTGGCGTTAAACGACATTCATTCACTCATGTTTTGGAAAGAGCTGTGGGCTTTAGTATGGTGCCATTCACCAATACAAAAGAAAATCAAGACTTCTCTAAAATAATTTTCTTACCAACAAGATTGCCGGAGTAACAAACGCCAAGAGAACCTTAACTGCCGGTGAAAGATGTTTTCCAGTCATCATCTCCACGTCACTGCTGAATCGTTTTGCCCCTGAAACAAACATATATTCACCTTGACACATTATGTTTACATAGGCTATACATCTTCCCAGCTCCAACATGATATGTACCTTTACATTGATTTCTCAGAGATGTTGTAAGTAACGAGTTTGCACTTTGAAATAGAGACTTTATAGGCTGAAGCTGTATATACCAACCATATATCCACATGACGGCAACACACTCCAGTGTGCAAAACACCATAGGTCCCAGCGAAGCTACATACCAGTCTACCAGCTGGAACATGTACGGGCCTCCCTGCAATACAGAGAAGATGGACTACCATCGCAAACACTGATACCACTGCCACGATGCCAACAGCAACATTACGCTACAATTGGTACCACTGTTGTATCTAACACCTAAGTCTTCTGTTCTGTTACTACTGTTACTTCTATTACTAATGACTATTTTTTATTATTTTGTTTTGTTTGCTGCTGCTGGGAGTGGTATCCAATGGTTACCGTTCCACTACAATACACTAACACTTGCACTTTTGTAAACTCCTTGAACGTGTAAAGTAAAGTGTGCCAGCCACGGTGGTGGTATTCCTAATACGTGGACATTGACATTTGGTTGTGATTAATAACACTACTACTGACAGTTTCATTTCATGTTATGTATCCCCCACATCCCTGGTCCGATTTGTAAAAATGAGTGTTGTATAAAGATCACCTGCGTGCAGAAGACGATTCCAAAAAGAAAGAGTATCAGGCAACATCCTCCTGTTACAAGCAGCCTCCTCTTTCCTAGCTGCCGTGGATACTCATCTACCAGAGCAGTTATGACTACTTCCATCCCCAGGAACTGGAGCAAGTAAAATGTCGGAATTATCGTAATGGAGAGACTGCTGAATGCAGTGTACTTTACATTTTAGTAAGCATATTTATGTTTCTCTTAGAAAGAGGTTGTGTTCTTCATATTTGATCAATCCGGTATTCTACAGTACGAACTGAACTAATTACATGATTTGCACTCAGAAGATATGGTTACACTCTGCGTTTACTACAAAGTTACTTCATAAACGTGAATCGAAAATATGTGGCAACGGTCAGTGAAGTAAACAGTTTTAAAATGCAATCTCGGCCCTGTGATTACGTTGAATACTTGAATACGTACCTGCGAATCCAAACCAACCATCAGCAACATCAGAAAGAACAAGAACGACCACAGCTGAGGAAGAGGAAGTTGGGCCAGAGCTTCTGGATACGTTACAAATCCTAAACCTGGACCTACAAGAATAACATCTATCATATTCATGCACATAATTACATGTCTCACAATGTCGAACAGGTGTGTTTGCTGAGGGTATTTGCTAGCAAACAACTTGCAAGTGGATAGAATCAGTTTCTTAACTAACGCCTTATCCTTTTAAGGTTATGTACCCCAGCGTCAGAGTAATGGCAGCTTGGCTCCTTTGACTATACATTTTCACCAGCGGAAAAATCGGCGTATTCACTCCTAATGCATGGCATAGACTGAGACTTTCCAAAAGAAAATCGTTTAAAGGAAAGACTACCCTGCTCTCAAACATTCAACAATTGTGAAACTGATCATCTCCTTTTAGCTGAAATTTTGTAATGCAATTTGAACATATACGTGGCTTATTGGCATTCTAGTTTGTTGAATACCAGTCACGCTGGTATTAGGGCGAATTGGAAAAATTATATTTTGAACAGTACCTTTTCATACTAAAACTACCCTAAAACTTGCTATTTGGCAATACGTCTGACATATGTAGCGGCAACGATGGCATCAACAAGTATCTAATACACCACGTGCCATGCAACTTCTGCTCGGGAAGTTTTTGTCGTTTTGTACTGTTTAATACGATAAAGGACAAGGGTTGTTTTTGTTTTGGGTTCATAATTTGTCTGGTCTGCATGGACTAAGAATGTGTCCCAATGCTATCATTGCAGTGACTAACTGACCTTATAACATGACTACGAAGCCCCTACCTGTTGAAACTACCTTTGCAATAGGAACACCAATTTTCTGTGCCATCGACCCGAGAACAGCAAATGTTACCAGGCCAGAAAAGATGCTGGTTCCCTCTGATATTATGGACAATATCAAGCAATCTCTGTAAATATAAATAATGAATCAAAATATAAATAAAATATATTATTGGGCAAACTGTGTGACTTGGGTTACGCCCCTTTGTCTGTGGAAGACGGGTGTTTGAGGGTACTGATTCCAGGACTAGCATTCCTTTACCGAGTGCACCACTTTGACCCTTACTTCACCTAGAATAGTGGTAGAATGGGCTCGGTTTTACCAATAGGCTGGTCATGATAAGCCCTGTGTAGTGTATTTTACACACATTTCTTAAAATGATCTATTTTGGGGTGTTATTATGTTAGTAGAAGATAAGAGGTAGTTAACATTCTGTCTCAAGGAGACCTATCTTATACTAACTGACAATTTCTATTTTCGTCAGTACAGTTGCTACCAGATACTTTCTCCATCAGGGATTAAAGCTACTGGTGGATCGTCATTTCTCTGTAGACAGCCCTACCTCACTTCATACCAGTCTTCGGGCTGTCGCAGTTCTGATAAGTACTTTGTGTTTACTGTGCGCTCTTCAGCAAACTGGGGCGGTGGGGTAGTCTAGTGGTTAAAGCGTTGGCTCGTCACGCCGAAGACCCGTGTTCGAATCCCCACATGTGTACATTGAGTGAAGCCCATTTCTGGTGTCCCCCGCGGTGATATTGCTGGAATATTGCTAGAAGCAGCGTTAAATAAAACTCAGTGAGTCAGTCAGTCTTCAGCAAACTGATCTTCAAGCGCGCTTTATGACTATCTTCCGAAATCATCAGATTTCGCTAATAAGCAATATTACTAGCATTGCTACCTGAGTGATCAAATTAGCAACTGAGAATTTAGTGGCTGTTATCCACAAATGGGATTGAAAGTAGTGTAAACTTATTGTCCCCTCAGAGAGTACGTAAGTTCCAAACATTTAAAATAAATTGAGGTCTGCCTCATCGTAGGATATTTGGTATTTTCAGCCATTACTAAGTACAAAATGCCAACAGCTTAGGGGATGGTGTAAATCCACGATGTGGCTGAAATACTGACTAAAACTCTTAATTCACTGATGATGTAACTGACAAATGTTTGTAGTGGTAGGAAATAGAATTCATTTACTCTCTCACACACTCCAATATTCACCTGAGACATGGTCGACGGAACGTTTTGTAGCTTGCTGCTGTTCCAACTGACCCGTAGCCAGGTCCAAGCGAGTAGAACACCTGCAGACACGCTTCTATCCATACCTAAACAAAATATCACCCATTCATGACCAACTACATTTTCCTTGGGGGAGAAGGGAGATAAACTAGCTGTGAAACTCCACAGCTAACTCCCAAAACTCCATTAGAAAATCGCAAATGCAGACTTTGTATCAGTAACTGTCGAGGACGAGGATCATTTTCTTGTTGAATGTAGTTTTTATAAAGAAATCAGATATGAGCTCTTTAATTAACTCGACATATATGATAGGTCGTTCAATGCCTTATCCTCAGTTGATAAAGCTATTTACGTATTAACCAACGAACGCCATATAGTATCCATAGCCGCACCGGTTTTTACCATGTTTCCCTATAGGAATGTCCACAGATGAGCGACTTAATATTATCTCACTGGGTCGCACTGTAGTTTATGTATATTTTACCTTTTGTTATATTTTAGATGCTTTAACCGTTTAATATATCACTTTTATGTACGCCATGTCCTATATGTATTTAGTGTCTGATAGATCAATGTTGGCCTTACACTTTTATGAAGAATGACACTTTAATAAAATATTGTTCTTCTTTCCTTCATACATACAATACGATATAGATAATAATTATGTTGGATGGTGAGGATGACATTATTAATAAGTTAACAGTTGCTTCTTACACGGAATGCTTCATACACATATATACCTAGAGCGCGTTAAGTAGTAATATTTTCTGAGGATAATAACTGTACACATTTATAAACTGAATATTTTTACAGTAATATTTATTAAATGAATAGATCTTTGGTGAGTATAGGATGGACACTTGAGTAAAAAGTGAAATTCGTCTTCTATGTCGTTAAGATTACAGTTAGTACACATCATTTCATCCCTTGGGATTTTATTACTACCCTGTCAACCAGTTTCAATTAATAATGTATGTGCTGATAATCTTAATTTATATAATGCAGACCAGTGGTTACAATTTAAAACATTAACTAAATACATTTGTTGGGAATCAACAATACTAACCTTATATAAACAATATCATTCTTGCTGGAAAAAGATATATAAACCTATCTAGTATAAATGACAGAAAACCGACTCTAGACAATTTCCTAAATGGGCTAAGAAATCCTATATCCATCGAAAGAAGCATAGCCAGGAAAAACAACAACATGGCAAAGCTCCAGAGGAAATGACCCAAAGAATTGAATTTATAGCCTCTATGCCTGCCCTTACGGGTGTACTATGGACTACTTATTGTATTTATTATGCCATACTATATTGTGAATTATACCAGCAGATCCACTCAAATGTGCCACACTTATACGTTTTTGTATATGCTCCACTGAAGTGAATAAAAATATTTTAAAAAACAAAACTAAATACATTTCAAAGCCAAATTTCACCTTAAATTGTTTGAATAACATGTAAGAATAGAATTCCTCATTTCCTGGTACCAATAAGTAATACATTTATCTTGTAGTCGTTGTTTTATAAAGACATGAAAACTGGAACATTTACCTCCAAGGGAGACAGTCATGCATAACAAAAACCGTTGCTCATTAAGATATATTTTACTTAAGAATACCAGCCAGATCGTTCATCTAAAATCGAATACATTTCCTTCATAATGCCATTCTCTGATTGTACAACCTTAAACCAACACTTTATCATCTGTAATTCCCGCTGTATGCCAAGTAGGAATCTTCCGAGTTCACCGTGCACTAATAAATTACTTGTACTACTGTTAACACCGAGAATATTTTGACAAAATCTACAAAGTCTTTCAATACATTCTGCCTGTTTCCATCCCCAAATGGATTAGTATTAACTAGTGGTGGTCCGATTAATTGAAATAATCGATGATTGGTCGCAGTGCCTAAACGACCAAGCAATCGATTGTGTTTTCTCATAATCGAACACAACCGATTTTGGAACACTTGTTTGCATCAACAATATTTTACACAAGGTTGGTTTTGTCTGTGTCATTAAATTTACATTTCATAAGCTCTACAAGCTCGTTCCAAGTGATGATTGAATTTATCTTAAAGAATCCAGGAATTCTGTGTTCTTAACATACTAATCATCCTTTAAATATGTGAAATTTGCCAATAGATTTTGTGCAATTTGCAAAAGACCCAAATTAATACATGTTTTTTCTTTATCTTTTGTGTGTGCATTAACAAAGATAACAGGAACATTTGATAAATGACGCAAACCAATTATTGTCGATGATTGATCGGTTGTAATGAACCAATCATCAATTACGAGATTTTAACCAATTCCAAACACTAGTATTAACAATGTATATACAAGCACAGGGGTGGTGTCAAAACCTCACTAACTGGTGAACATATATTTCACTTTGCAATTGATCTCATGACATGAAATATGTTAACTAAATCGGTGAATATGAAAATAATCAAATGAAAGAATTAGTATAATGTAATTGTTCAAGTGGTGATTACTATATCAATCGGTGATAACTATATCAATCGGTGATTACTATATCAAGATTTGACATCACAAACAACTCGTGATGGCGATTTCGACTTCTGAAAGAAACCGTAGTGTTTGGATCTATTTCATATTGACACTACAACTGTACTGCTATTCATTTTGTTCTGTTTACATTCAATTTTGTTTCTCCATTGTTATTACTCTGCACGGCATTGTATTGATTGGTATGCATAGTTAATATCATGACATAATTGTTAATATTTTAAAGATTCACATCAAACAAATTGGACTTGTTATATAGTGAAAACGTGAACTACAGGAGTAAATGTTTGAATCAATTCAAGAAGTGTCATCATCATCACCATTATCATCTTCCTACCTGTAAGTCGAGTAGTTTTGCGAAGTCAGGTACGACGTAGAAAATTATTCCATCAAGAGCACCTGGTTGAAACAGCGTCACTATGAAGATGGAGATGAGAAGAACGTACGGCAGAAGCGCGGTCACATACACAACCTGTTGTTGGGAAAATATAATCTAATAACACAACTTCGAACGTTTAGAACATCTCCTATTCATAGCTTGTATGTGGAGGCATGTGAACCACCCCAAAACCGTCTGCATGTATCCTTACAACATGTCACAGAATTAAGTTTTCATCCAGCTTTGAGTGCGTGACGTGATCACCCTTATGAAACTATTTACAATAAGACATCAACTCTTATTCCACCATTTGGAATAAGGATCAAATCTGTTCTCATCCAACCTTTGTCATCGCCTCCTCGGCAAATGGTAAAGCTGGAGGTAGGTCTTACTTTTATAATACATAAGATAACAAAAACCAACCATCTAAGAAACCAACAAGAATACCATCAGTTAAGAAATAGTTAGGGCACTTAAACCCAAGATGCTAACGCATTCTTTAAAGCCACTGTCATTGGATCTAAATCAATAGACAGACCAAATATACAAATCTAATCATATTTTCATACTCACTCCATGGCTCCAGGATTTTAAAATCATGTCATGTAAACATTCACTTTTTATCAAAATAATTGAATGACTTAATGATCTTGCTATTTTGGTGGTGTTTTTTTGTTATCTTATTTTAACAGTTTCCTAACATTATTGTCCCCTGTGAAGGTTTGTAAGGTTTTAATTGTAGCATAAAAATCGTAAAACGTTTGTGACAAATGCGTGCTTGACGACTCATTTGACGTGTGCTGGCAATCAGGTGCCTGATTCTGAGAGTGTGGGTTCAAGTCCCCCATGGGACTCAACCCAACAAAAGTACTAGATCCTGTACTTTACTGAGAAAGTGTAATCCCAAATCTAAACATATGTTAGACTCATTTGACTTCACTATTATTATATAGCAACAGAGAGAGCAATTCCCTTTCCACGACAGATCCTACTAGAAATACGGTGTTTGTCCATTCCTATTGATTATAAATACTGACGATCTTTCTGAAGCGAATGTGGTGAGTTTATTTATAACATACAAAGGTACTGGTATCCATGAAGCTATTCATATGAAATACATTGCATTATATGCAGCAAAGGAGAAAATGATGCAATACATATCTGAATATTGCGTTCATTTCAAACAAGCGAACACTTCAACGCTAACGTCATATTTCAACATCCTTTTCGTCAATACAGACAAACTTTATGGATAACAACTTATTTATTACGAGTGTGCGACGTTTCGATACAGATTCTTGTACCGTTGTCGAGCAGGAATGTTAACATGAAGTGGAGGCAAAGTATATATACTGAGTGTAACAACAAAAGGAAGAGAACAAGATAATTAACAGAATTGGCTATGCATTATGCTGATAAAGCCAGTAGGTAGACACAAGGTGGAAGGCGTGTAACTAGGAGTAGATGTTTTTACAGTTGATTGGGGCTTGGTGGAGTGCATTATCAGAGGTTAGAATGTAATATCCTTGATCTCGTTGTTTGAGAGGCATTTTAGAAGTTGTAAAGATGAAGGAAAACAAAGTTCAATGGATAGTCAACTTCTTTATTGCCGACCTTTCGGCGTAGGTACTAACATCGTTATCAAGCACTTTTATCACGCTTCATGGCGGTGTTAGTACCTTCGCCCAAACGTCGCACTCGTTGCAATAAAGATGTTGACTATCAATAGAACTTGGTTTTCCTTCATCCTTGATCTCGAATGATGGTGGGCTTTTGACGTCTGATGTGAATGGCTCCGGTGAGTTTCACTTAACGCAAACTCACCGAAGCCATTCCCAGCTTCTAAAAGGCCACTCAAAGAAGTCAGCTTCATTTCATCTACACACTTTGTTTCATTGACAAATACCAGTTGTAACCAAATGCAACAGGTATGAGCAATTCATTGTTGTGTGTGTCCCAGCTGTGTGAAAATTATGCGGTGTCACTGGCGTCTCAAAAATAGGCCTACGAGAAATTGTATATACACTATCTGATATGGCGGAAAGCTCACGTCGTTCTTGCGTATTATCCGAAACATTCCAAGCATCTCTGAGTTCATCGGCCAGAATGACTTAAACATATTTATATCCAATGAAAGGAACCGGACTGGAAAACAAGCATAAGCTTATAATGAATACCGCTACGGGATACAATGGAAGGAAGAGTAAACATGTCATGATGAGCGAGTGAGTTAAGAATTAACGTCACATCGGCAATATTTCAGGCATATCGTGACGAGAACATATTTGACATTAAAATGGAACATGTGTATAAACCTGTCGTCAAAGGACAGTAAAACAACTAGAATATCACAATTAAACTTAATACTAATAATAGGGCTTTGAGTGAATTGAGCACTTGTTGTGAAGACATCAAGGCGTGGATGCATTACAACAAACTAAAACTGAATAGTGACAAGACGGAATGCATTGTCATAGGGCCACAGAAAAGGAGATCACAGTGTGGTCTTACATGTTTTAGGTTTGATAATACAAACATCCAAATCGCTGACAAGGTCAAAGACCTTGGTGTGATTATCGACTCAGATGTGTCACTGGATGATCACGTTTCCCATCTAGTCCAGAGCTGCTTTGCTCAGTTGCGTACTATTGGACATATCCGACCATATCTCACCACCGAACCTGCCGCCACTCTTGTCCTGTCTCTAGTTATGAGCAGGATTGATTACTGTAACTCTCTTCTCGCTGGTGCCACTAAGACACAGATAAGGAAACTGCAGCGTGTGCAAAACGCTGCTGCACGTATAGTGACCCAGTCACGTAAATCTGATGACGCTCTGAAACTCCTACATTCTTTACACTGGCTGCCCATTGACTATAGGATTCAATTCAAGCTTCTGTGCCTCACTTTCCACTGTCTGTCTGGATCTGCCCCTTCGTATCTGGCCCAGTCCCTCACACAGCACCGACCATGTCGCTCTCTCCGTTCACAGGATAAACGTTTCCTCGTTATCCCCACTGTGAGGACTTCTACGTATGGTGAAAGGTCCTTTTCGTATGCAGCCTCTACAGCCTGGAATCAACTACCTCAATATCTACGTGACTGTACAGAACGTTCTAATTTAAAATCTTTACTAAAGACGCACTTTTTCAGATTAGCTTATGAGTGTAAACTATAATTCATTGCATTGTTTCCATGTATCGCTCTAATCTTTTATTCTCTCCTATAGTCTGTTTGTATGTACTTCTATGTCTTGCGCTTTGAGCATGTTGTACATGGAAAACAGCGCATTACAAGCATGCTATTATTATTATTTATATTAATACTAGCTTGGAAAGTTAAAACTAATAGCACTATTTGGACAATACAATATAAAAACAGGCTATACATCGCCAACAACTGAAGGTAGATGGGTACAACCATGGGGACTTACAGTACCTTTGCTACCGGCATGGACCCTAGTTGGATTTACACCATCCTTTCAGCTGCTGGCGATTGTAAGAAATGTTAGCCAAAATTAAAATAACAAGAATACTAGGTTTAAAAATCCTGGTAAGTTTAAATTGACTTTGAACATTTTTGGACTTACGTAGCCTCTCAGGGGGACAATAATTATACCCCCGCTACGAAGTAACGGGGGTATATAGCGTTCATTCTGTCCGTCCGTCCGTCCGTCCGTCCGTCTGTCCGTCCGTCCGTCCGTCCCGAAACTTTGTCCGGAGCATATCTCTTAAAGTTTACATGCTGGGTTCACCAAACTTCACACACATAGTAATCATTACCCATTTATGTGCCTTTTGCTATTTTAAAGTTTTTTCAGAATTTAGTTTTTTTGCTGTTTCCATGGAAACATGATTTAGGCTGTGACTATGAGGATGTCATCTTGTCCGGAGCAGATCTTCCAAACTATACATGCTAGCTTCATCAAACTTGGTACACATATCAAGCATGATCCCTAGATGTGCCTTTTGGGGTTTAGATCCAGATATGAATTGTATTTTTTGCTGTTTCCATGGAAACACGACTTAGTGCCAAATGTGTTTGATTATTTTGTCCAGAGCATATCTCTTAAAGTTTACATGCTAGGTTCACCAAACTTCACACACATGTTAATCATTACCCATTGATGTGCCTTTTGCTATTTTAAAGTTTTTTCAGAATTTAGTTTTTTTGCTGTTTCCATGGAAACACGACTTAGGCTGTGACTATGAGGATGTCATCTTGTCCGGAGCAGATCTTCCAAACTATACATGCTAGCTTCATCAAACTTGGTACACATATCAAGCATGATCCCTAGATGTGCCTTTTGGGGTTTACATCCAGATATGAATTGTATTTTTTGCTGTTTCCATGGAAACATGACTTAGTGCCAAATGTGTTTGATTATTTTGTCCAGAGCATATCTCTTAAAGTTTACATGCTAGGTTCATGCTAGGTACATGCAAAATGTATTTGATGGTGACCTGACCACGGCATATCATCGCAACTATACATGCTAGGTTCACCAAACTTAATACACAAGTTAATCATGACCCACAGATATGCCATGTGCTAAAAAATAGCAATCTTCATCTACGTCCATTGTGTGCAACATGAGACAGTCAAGTTCAATTACATGTCAGGTTTCCACGGAAAACACAAAAAAATCTAGTTTCCATAAATTATTACCGTAATCAGTACATGCCCAAACTATTATCTAACATTTATATAAAGTTTAGTAGAGTCAAAGAGAAAGTCTTGTGAGCTGCTGATCCTTGTCACATTACATATATCAATATCAGTCATTTCCATGTCCCAAAGTGGGAAGCGGGGGTATGTGAGCTTTGCTCACTTCTACACTTGTTTTACAATACTTCAACCCCCCTTGAGGGTACAGCCACTAACAATCTGAGGTATTAATTAAAACTTCCACTCATAAAATATTTATCTATTTACAAATCAGTTAACAAATCTATTTCTTTTAAAAATACAACAATTAAATGAAAACTTATATTATTTAAAAGATCCTTCATAGTTCGTGATTTGAAATAGTTATCCCTTGTGATGGAATATTCAAAACAGTCAAGCAGGACATGCTTGACCGTGATTCTTTC